ATTACTTTATTATGTTTGTAATAGGGCCAAAACTTTATACTGTACATAAATGATATAGGTGAGGTGTCTAAATTACTGAAGTTTATTGTTTTTGCGGACGACACAAATGTTTTGTGCACTAGGGACAAACTGCAGCAGCTTTTAGAAATACTTGAGAGGGAAATAAGTACATTAATATATTGGTTCATTAAATAAACGAATTATCATTAAAACAAATTATCTCTAAATTAGTCAAAATTAATGCTCACACAAGGTATCAGAGTTTGAAAGTTACAAAAACAATAGTAATAATGAATAAAACCAGGTATATTTAAATCAAAAATCCTTACACACTCTTTATGTTATTGTTGAACCATATCTGTGTTATTGTACTGAAGTTTGGAGAAACACCTACAGAAGTAATACAAAGTTTATGCACGTAAAAAAAAAAAAAAAGCTATAAGAATTATGAACCTTATCAAACTCACTCAAATGATTTGTTTTCAAAATCAAATTTTCAAAAATTCATGGACTTTGTAAAGTTGAAAACTGCTCAGCTCATATTTAAAGCTAGAAATAATCTATTTCCATTAAGGGTTATTTACAGTAAAAGATGGCAGAAATGCTTTAAGAGGGAATTTAAACATTAAACAATCAAGGACAAAGACAATTCTTTCAAAGTTTGTGCATAACAGTATATGGAGTGAAAATGTGCAATACTGACACATAAAGGAGTGCAACACATTTAAAACATTTAAGAGCAGTTACAAACAGGTTTTAGGTGGGTATAAAATGGACTATGGGTAATCTGTGAAAAGTGAGATTAATTATGTATTCATATTTGTGTATGGTTAAGTACTTTTATTTACACAGTAGTAGGCAAATGCTCATATTTTTAAAGAAATTGATTATTTCTGCAGAATTGTAACGAGGGACAGGACTAGATAAGCTACTGGCTTCATCCTGCCCCTTCTCGAACACTCTTTGCCCTGTGCTTTTTTATTGTTGTTTTTTGTGTGCATATCATATGCAGCATATGAATGTTTGAGATGAATAAATTAAAAAACTAAAGTTGTGTGTGCGCGTGTTTGAGTGTGTTTGTTTGTTTTTAAGCCGTGTAAAGTTGGAACTTACATTTTTCAACTCACATTTTACATGTTTGTCTTTCTTTATCATGATATTAATTTATTATTATTATTATTATCATCATTTGTTCATTTGTTTTGTTTATTCTTTTGCTTTCAAGCTCGCTAACGAAGCGGAACTTTAAGCGCTGGTGCTTGGACACGTCAGCTGAACGCACCGGACACATTTACATGCTACACACTTTAAACTTCCTGCTTGTCCTGTGTTGATGTCTGTCGATTATTCCTACTTTAAGTAAAACGTTAGTTAATTTCTCGTTTTTCTTTCTCCGTATAGATGCTGCGGACATTTAGCTGAGAACATCTAATAAAAAAATCCGGTAATCTTTTCAATATTTCAGCCGACAATGTCCGATTTTTTGATTTAGCATGCTGTCCTCACCAGGTAATGCATGGATTAATAACTTTTTTCTGATTTTCGCGCACGTCTTTTGCATGGCTTCCTATAGAATCAAGTTTTACTGCGTCTTTCATTCATTAAGTCACATACTTTTTATATAACATGTTACTAAATGATTACATGACGTCAGCTGCCAACTTTTTATTTCAGTTCTCAGTCACTTTGCTGAAAATGAAACTTGCAGTTAAAGACCAACATCCACTTATCTGTTGTTCACTGGAATCACCAGGTTCACAGTTTTAGAAGTTAATAAAATGTACAATGTTCACAAGTTAGCTACAACGTATTCAGAAGGAAAGTTAAAGTGAGGCATTAGCACTTTTTATTTAATCTTTTTTCTTCTACATTCTGCAGACCTGTTAAGGGCTCAGTGGGTTTGATGCCCTCAGCTCCGCCATGGAGTTCTCCGATTTGACCACACAAAAAAACGGGCGGCTGAGGAAACTGACAGGCGCCACCTTCCCACCCGGACACAAGAGGGACATGGACAGGGAAGGAGCAAGCTCATCTGAGACAGAAATGGGAGAGGACGATACAGATGGTCTGATCAGGAGTTCGGACTCTGAGGACAGGAGGCATACCAGGGTCCGGCCTGGAATTCACGGCGAGCTGGGGAACGTGTTGCTCTTGTTGTTCCTCTACGTGCTTCAGGGCATTCCTCTCGGACTGGCTGGCAGCATCCCTCTGATCTTACAGAGTAAGAATGTCAGCTACAAAGACCAAGCTTTCTTCAGCTTCGTCTTCTGGCCGTTTAGTTTGAAGCTTCTCTGGGCGCCACTGGTTGATGCTCTGTACTTCAGCAGGTTTGGTAGAAGGTATGAAACAAACCTGTATTCTAATTGGGGTGATACTTTATTTTTCCCTACCCACTTCTTCTACCATGTTTCTTTTTAACATCTATGTTTTTTGTTTCTGAAGAAAGTCTTGGCTGGTACCAACACAATACATTCTGGGTCTGTTCATGCTCTACCTTTCTGGAACAGTCAATTCACTGCTTCAGAACAGCAAAGGTCCAGATGTGGTGATTCTCACTGCTGTCTTCTTCATGCTTGCCTTCCTGGCAGCTACACAAGTAATTGATAATAAGCACACGAGTACAAGCACATATTTAGAAAGACAAATGTACTTATTTAATTTGTATTGCTCTTTCTGTGTGTAAGGACATCGCTGTGGATGGCTGGGCCCTCACTATGTTGTCCAGAGAAAATGTGGGCTACGCATCTACATGCAACTCTGTAGGTCAGACAGCTGGCTACTTCCTGGGAAACGTACTCTTTCTGGCTCTGGAATCAGCTGAGTTTTGTAACAAATACCTCAGAATAGAGCCCCAAGACACAGGAATTGTCACGTTGCCAGGTAGTCTTTGCTGACCACCTTTTTAGATTTAATCAAAAATATTTGCACTACTTGGTTATCGTTAAATAATGTACTTTTATTTTTTCCTCATTTGCTGCAGACTTCTTATTTTTCTGGGGAGTGGTCTTCCTAATTTCCACCACACTGGTAGCCATCTTTAAAAGGGAAAATGGACATGGCCGAGGGAGGAGGAATGTCCCAGAAGAGACACAGGGTGTCATGGAGACATACAAACTGTTGTTCTCTATTGTCAAAATGCCCACAGTTTTCACCTTTTGTGTCTTGTTGCTCACTGCTAAAGTACGTATCCGATTGATGTTGGTGAAACACAGATATGTTTGCATGGACGTCGAGTGAAAACAAACCTGATTTGTATCTTGTTTGTGTGTTTTAGATCGGTTTCTCTGCTGCAGATGCAGTTACAGGTCTGAAGCTGGTGGAGGAAGGAGTTCCTAAAGCGCAGCTGGCGCTGCTGGCAGTACCCATGGTGCCTCTGCAGATCCTCCTACCAGTCATCATCAGCAAATACACAGCAGGGCCTCGACCTCTGGATGTCTTTTACAAAGCATTCCCATTTAGGTTGGCACTCAGACACACAGATTCACTGACTTTGTGTATTCAGTAAAATAAAACTGACAGAGTCGTGTTCTATTTTGCAGGTTGCTCATAGGGCTCGAGTACGCTCTGCTGGTGTGGTGGACCCCCAGTGTGAAACAAGAAGGAGGATTCCCAGTTTATTACTACGCCATAGTGCTGCTCAGCTACGCATTACATCAGGTTTGTTATTTTGCTGCTGTTTATCTGTTAGTTTCAGTGTCAGGTTCACAGCAACACAGGGGTCAAACTGCACTTTAAAACTAGTCATTTTAGCTGTTAGTTATTAGTTTTAGTTGTCCGTATTTTTTCAGTTCCTTTCCTTTATTTCTTTGTTTATCAGGCACCTTGTGCAGAATAAACATTAAACTCTAGTTGAATAGAGAAGAAATCAGATTATAGCTTTCTAGCACATAGATGTTTGTCAGAGCCTCATTTAGGGACAACTGTTCTTCCTAAAGCAACTTCAACGTGGTGAGTAGGTACATAAGGATCAAGCAGCAGTGAGGAGAGGAAGTATTATTCATCTACCAACTTTACTAAAAGAAACAATGTTTATAGCCTCCATTTATTTGTGTTATACTCGTCTTTTGTCTGCTCTGGCACATTCTTAAAACAAAGAATCAACTTTGCTGCACATTCATAAAGATGGATGTTGTGCCTTAAACAGACAAACTCTAAAATTCAAACGTTTCAGACAGAAACATATACGTGTAGTGGAAAATAGTTCTATACAATTGTGACCCAGTCAGAAAAGCACAGGATTCTGTGCAAAAAAAAACAACAAAACAAAACTGAAAATTCTTGGGGTTTTGCCACAATTGCATAATTTGTGTGAAAATGTGTCCATAAAAACACCATCTAGTATTGTGATCCCAGTAACTAAAAAATGGTGCATAATCCTCATAATCTACCTTTCAATCAAGGCTTTCTAACAGAGATGACTTCAGAAATAATCTTGTTTTATTTTCTTGGGAAATAATTCTTTTTTTTTCCCCCTTACCAGTTGATTTTGTGCATAAAAAGCCTTCTGTATTGTTTGGCATCTTAGATTCAGAATCAGCTTTATTATCATTGTACCAAGATACAGTGAGATTATGTTTGTACAGTCGTCCAAAAGATGGGCAGAGTGCACGTTGCTGCTGCTACTGGAGCGCGGCCCCTTATTCTTTTTCAGAAAACTTTTAGATGGAAAAGGGGAAAAATCCATGAGGATGGATAGTGGCATTACAGAAAAGATCTCTTCACATCTTGTCCCATCAGGACACAATTTAAGACATCAAAAAACTCTGCCAGCACATTTATAAACACATTACATATGCATTTAACGACAAGACGGTGAGATTTGTCCATGAAGCACTTCCAGATAGACTGTAGTGTAATCCTGATATGATGCTCATCAACCGGCACAGCTCTGATAAGCCTTCACAGAAGTTCTCGGGGGGTGTTGCGATAGACAAAGCTTTTTCCTTAGTTTACACATAGCCCAGGAGAAATTTGATAAGTCGTCCTGTTTTCGAGGCCAGACGGGGGAGTCAGATTCAGACAAGGCACAATTGTTGATTTTTTTCAGGAAAACTGTTTTTTTTTGTCAGCCTTGAGTCCTGCTGGTACTTTTAAGATCCAAAATGGACAGATTAGTGGGCATTCCACTGGTCCGTGCCTACAAGGCTCCTCCAAGGTCGTCTCCAACATGCTGGCGAGTCCTAAAGTCACAGGTGGCCTGCAATCTCACAAATCACTTCCATCTTACAGTTTAGCTCGTAAATCAGCTGATTTTGAGTACTTGAAGCACGAACCAAACCTTCACACAGACTTGGCAGTTTTTTTTTTTCATTGCCGACTGCTGCCGCCATCTTCCTTAATAGTCAATAACACAGAAATCCACCGATGCCAGAGAGCAGAAACCCTGCTATCATGAATCCAGTTATATAAACATCTTCAGCGTCCTCCTGAGACAAAACAGAAGGACACATCAGCTCCCATCCATGACGTATCCTGCTGTGTGAGTCTCAGCGGGGCATGAGGGCTCTCCAGGACCGTGTCGCTTTGTTGACAATCGCGTTGAAAGTCCAGCTGACCAGATCCATGACGGTTGTTTTCGTTTCAGAAGATGTGTAACAGGAGCTCCGAAACACAAACGAGAGAAAAAAAAGCAGGAGAACAGGAGAGGGTTTTTAGGCGTTCTCCTTTTTAAATATATATCTGGACCTCTTGATGACATCACCCCAGACAAAAAAAAAAAAAGTTTTCAAACCAGCACACTCATAAACAAAACTTTTCCTGGTCAGTTTCAACAAACTAATATTTTAATCCTTTTGTGATGGACTCTGAAAAAAAAAGCAATAGCTCAATTAAAAACATCCCTCGTTGCTCGTTATTTTTCTAGCACGGCTCTCAAATCATGATCTGTTGCCATGGTTACAGTTGAGCGCTGTGTTCTTTTAACTCTCATCAGGTCCCCCTCCTGTGTTTGTCTCCAGGTGGCGCTGTACAGCATGTATGTGGCTTGCATGGCCTTCCATGCCAAAGTGAGTGACCCCCTGATAGGTGGGACCTACATGACCCTGCTCAACACGGTCACCAACCTTGGAGGAAACTGGCCTGCCACCTTGGCTCTGTGGATGGTCGATCCTCTGACCTCTAAGGAATGCCGGGGGGTTGCCAGTCAGAGCTGTGGCTCCACAGTGGAGGCGGGGGTGAGTGGAAACAAAGACAGTTGGAGTAACACAGTCTACACATTTGAATTGTTAAAAAATTAAAACATTTTTTGTTTGTTGCTGGCTTGTTTGTTTGTCCTTGCATCCCCAGCTGTGCGTGAAGGAAGGAGGCGTTTGCGTTACGACCTTGGACGGTTACTACGTGGAGTCTGTGGTTTGCGTTGTGATCGGTTTAGTTTGGTGGTTGTGGTTGGGGAAGAAAATGAGGCGACTGCAGGAGCAGAGTCCTGCTGCCTGGAGGTGCAGAGTGAACCAGTGAATCTACACCAGCACCTCCGTCCAAACAGACTCTCCGTAGTGAGCTGTACTTTCTTATTCTGCTTTAGAGCAGCTACAGTAAACGCTGGACTCGCTGTAATACATCTCATTCTGTCTGCTTGTTGTTGTGGCTGCTACATTCTGAAAACATTTCCCTTCAAATCTAAAAAAGTTAAATCTGGTCCTCTGGACATTCAAAAAAAAAAAAAAAAAAAAAAAAAAACCAACCGCATCAGGATATTTCCCTTCAAAAACTTGTTGAAGTTCACACAAATGAAGAAGCATTTGTCTCTTAAAGGAAACGTGCCTCTTGATATGACTCCTGAACTGTCCTACACTGAAACAACGGTTTAGTTTAGCTGGAGTTATTTTGAAGAGCTTTAAATCATGTAGCATTTAAAATTCTGACCCTTTTCTTTGTCACCGTTCACATTACAGAAGTAAATATGGAAACATGCAGTCAGAATCTAAAGATCTAGTCAAACTGACTGAATGCACGTATGAGTAGAAAACTCTTCAACCATGGGCCTGAGCCACGAAGCAGGGTTAGTGTTTGAATGAGTTTGTGTCAACTTTGGAGTTTCAGTGTCTGCCACAGGGAATTTATACCATGGGGAAACCTAACCTCTGATACTGGAGTCAGTCCAGTTCATGATGGATGCCACAGCTTATTGACATTAGCCAACACAAAAATGGTTACAACTTAGTCAGTTTTACAAATATTGAGCAAAACTGTGATGTGATAGTAGCTGAGAGTCATACACAACACATACTCTGGCTGCAGTGTCGCATGAGATGACGCATGATATTTTCAGCGTTGGACCAAAATGGCTACAAGTCCTTTGTTTCTCAACATAAGAGGAACTAAATACATATTTATTGGACAAATTACAATACTTTTTTTTTGTTTCAGTGGCAGAACATGAGTTATTTTTTATACAAACCGGATTCCAAAAAAGTTGGGACACTAAACAAATTGTGAATAAAAACTGAATGCAATGATGTGGAGGTGCCAACATCTAATATTTTATTCAGAATAGAACACAAATCACAGATCAAAAGTTTAAACTGAGAGAATGTATAATTTTAAGGGAAAAATCTGTTGTTTCCAAATTTCATGGCGTCAACAAATCCCAAAAAAGTTGGGACAAGTCCATTTTTACCACTGTGTGGCATCCCCCCTTCTTCTTACAACACTCAACAGACGTCTGGGGACAGAGGAGACCAGTTTCTCCAGTTTAGAAATAGGAATGCTCTCCCATTCATGTCTAATACATGCCTCTAACTGTTCAATCGTCTTGGGCCTTCTTTGTCGCACCTTCCTCTTTATGATGCACCAAATGTTCTCTATAGGTGAAAGATCTGGACTGCAGGCTGGCCATTTCAGTACCCGGATCCTTCTCCTACGTAGCCATGATGTTGTGATTGCTGCAGAATGTGGTCTGGCATTATCGTTTTGAAAAATGCAGGGTCTTCCCTGAAAGAGATGACGTCTAGATGGGAGCATATGTTGTTCTAGAACCTGAACATAGTTCTCTGCATTAATGGTGCCTTTCCAGACATGCAAGCTGCCCATGCCACAAGCGCTCATGCAACCCCATACCATCAGTGATGCAGGCTTGTGAACGGAGCGTTGATAACAACTTGGGCTATCCTTGTCCTCTCTGGTCCGGATGACATGGCGTCCCAGTGTTCCATAAAGAACTTCAAATCGTGACTCATCTGACCACAGAACAGTCTTACATTTTGCCACACTCCATTTTAAATGACCCCTGGCCCAGTGCAAACGTCTGAGCTTGTGGAACTTGCTTAGAAATGGCTTCCTCTTTGCACTGTAGAGTTTCAGCTGGCAACGGTGGATGGCACGGTGGATTGTGTTCACTGACAATGCTTTCTGGAAGTATTCCTGAGCCCATTCTGTTATTTCCTTGATAGTGGCATTCCTGTTTGAGGTGCAGTGACGTTTAAGGGCCCAGAGATCACGAGCATCTAGTAGCGTTTTACGGCCTTGACCCTTACACACAGCGATTGTTCCAGATTCTCTGAATCTTTTGATGATATTATGCACGGATGATGATGATAACTTAAAAGTCTTTGCTATTTTACGCTGGGTAACACCATTCTGGTATTGCTGCACTATCTTTCTGGGCAACAATGGTGGAATTGGTAATCCTCTTACCATCTTGGCTTCTGAGAGACACTGACACTCTGAGAAGCTCTTTTTATACCCAATCATGTTGTCAGTTGACCTAATTAGTGTTAATTGGTCTTCCAGCTGTTCGTTATATGCTCAATTTCCTTTTTCCAGCCACTTATTGCTACTTGTCCCAAGTTTTTTGGGATTTGTTGACACTGAAATTTTGAATCAACATACTTTTCCTTTAAAATGTTACATTTACTCAGATTAAACTTTTTATCTGTCATCTATGTTATATTACGAATAAAATATTGACATTTGCCATCTCCACATCATTGCATTCAGTTTTTATTCACAATTTGTTTAGTGTCCCAACTTTTTTGGAATCTGGTTTGTAGATGTTTGATACATTTGGGTCCAGATTTGTGATTGTAATTAGTAACTTAGTGCGAACATTTTTTTAAAAGCTGAGGTTGTTATGCAAGTCGTTTAAGGAGATCTTGGCCGCGCTGGAACAGATGACCAGAGTTCTCCTGGATTGGTTGAAACTGCTTCGTAGTACAGTCCCTATTCGGTTCAACCCATCCTGTTCATTTCTTCAGAGTTCAGCAGTGGATAAAGCACATCGCCAAAACCGTTCCTGTTCTTATTAATGCATTGTTCCAGGCGGTGCACTCGTGCCTTGATTGGTGTTTCTGAGTCCTCAGTTACAGAACTCAAGCTGAAGGTACTGCCGTAGTGTTCAGATGAAGACTTGCTGACGAAAACTCGTCATAAAACTGTATTTTCAGTCTTGCAAAGTAGATCAACAGGTTTTACTGAACTCCTTAAAAAGTACAATGTGCACTTTGTAATGGAAAGCCTGTCTTTAGTGGTTCAATGAATGGAGATGACTGAACTGTTATTTTAGTGAAACAATGACTACCTTCTCTTTCTGCCACCAGCTAAACATATGTTGAAGGCGTTATTAGTCAATCGTATTGAAGGAAGCACTCTTAACATTATCCTTCAAGGTTCAGCAGCAGTCTATGATCTATCTTTACAGCAACATATTGCAACATGTAAAAATGGAGAATGTTGAGCGTTGTGCTTTTTCTTAAATCTGTAGTGTAGATCAAGAACTATTTTGCTTATTAGACTTCTTCTATAAGACGGTAAAGGGTTAGTTGAAGTGGGGTTTTGAGGGAAGCTAGTCGGAGCGGGGACAAGACTGATGTGTGTTGCTGTCGTCTTAAAAGTATCCAGTGTCAAAACCTTTAGAACGTTTTTATGTTCGTTTTAAACTAGAGATGTGCATATCGAGACAGAAATATCGATACCACCGCAGCTAGAATCTATTCTCGAGTCAAATTATCGATGCTTTTATACTTAATTTCGGGTTATGTATATCATTAACAGGAACTCAGTGGAAAGTAACTAAACTACCGACAGCTTGTCTAAATGATACGTGGTTGGTGGGAACTACTTTTTCTGGGGTGAGTGCATAATGCGTGTAAGTGCAGAGGCATGCAGCAGCTATGTTGTAAATGAGGCCACTACCACCCGAGTTTAAAATAAATAACTTTGTCTTGTATTCTTTATGAAGTTTTGATTTGAAATACACAGCTGTTTTTTTTTTTAGATTTACAGACGCAGTGATGTAAACTAAATATGAAGGTATATAATGTTCAAAAGAACAAGTACAAAATTGAGATTGGAGTTTTAAGGCGGCAGCATTCCACTTTAGTCTTAATTCCTCTCCGACTAGCCATTAGCTCATCAGGCCAGTCAGGATTTAACTTTACAGAACTACTTGTTGCTCATTCATAACTTTTCCACAGAACGCCTTTTAAAGGATCTGAATTGCGTGGACCACTGAGGAAGAAATCACAGCTGCAAATACCGATTATCAAGATACCTGGACTAAATTTATCTGTACTGTTTTAAATATTTGTATTTATATATACATACACACACTGCAGATATGGAAAGTGGATTTAGAGGTTTAATTCTTATGTTGCTTCTTATAAAATCAACCACATAATTATTAAATTATTTTATCTTGTGTAACAATTTGGAACGATCTTGTTCTACTTTTAAAACACGGATGTTCTTCGTGCTGCTGAGACTGCATCCTGACATTTACACCAGAACCGTTTGAATTTGGTTTATTTAGACAAACGTAATGGTAGTTAGACTGGTGGAGGTAAACGACGGCTGAAAATCTGCTTTTATTCAGTTATTTTTTAATTTGCACACGTTTTGTTTACGATGACTGTAATAAAGTTGTTTAAAGTAAAAGATGGTGTGATTATTCTGGAACATCATTTAGGTCTCGTTTATTATACACAAACAACATCACAATAGTTCTTTTAAACGTTTTATTTATAACTTTGCATTTCATGAGTTTGAAAATTAGTTTCATAAACAAGTTGAGGCTGATGGAGGCTGCGGTAACTCTGTGGTCAGTGCCACGGTCGTGTAGTCCTGAGGATGCCGGTTCAAGTCCGGGCTGTGTCAGGAAGAGAATCCGCAACAATCGGCCAAATCTGTCATGCAAGTTTGCTCTCCGTGGTGATTCCTGCAGAGGAGAGCATCCAGGAGGCTGCGACTGCTGCTCCAAGTCTTTCAAGCATTGACCTCCTAACCCCCCTCCAGCTGCAGACCGTGACCAGATCAACCATCAGACATGAATCCACTCCTGAGGTCCTGAACTGAAGTCCAGCCAGATGAGGCAAATCAGTTAAAATGAGCAGAGGCTCAGCTGAATGTTTTAACGCTTGACGGTGCAATAAGATGAATTTTGACTGAAGGAGACGTCGACAGATGCAGCTCAGAGTGAGGTGCACCCAAAGGATCAAACAAGTCAGTCACAACACCACCGGTGGAAGAAAAGGACAAAGACAAACTCATTTTCTTATTTAATTCAGGCTCTCCAACTCACCAGATGCATCACATTTAATGCAACATCTCTGTAGGACAGAGCTGTACCAATCAATGACAGAGCCTGACCGCTCGTCTCAATCCCAATTCACCGATTCATTTGTAGCCAGGAAGGATTTCACCATCTTTCCATTTCATTCCTTTCAGTGGCGCTCACTGAAACATCCCAAAGCACTTTGGACATCTTATAGTACACAGAACTGACTGAGTTTCAGTTCAAAGCTTACCACATGATAAATAATCGCCTCTGATTTGTTTCCTTTAATGTCTTGAAACATGAGAAGTCAGAGGCCGACAGACCTGAAGTGTCCGAGGAGAAGCTGTGAGACGACGCCACCTCGAGCACTTAACTGAAGCATGCCGCAGTGCCAGACGCACGCACAAACTCCAGCCTGTGACGGGACATGTAGTGTGCGATGTTTGGATTTTCATTGTCTTGAGAATCCATACCGATTTCTTTGCTTCCTGTTTAAAAAGTGTGGGGGTCATAGGTTCATACGTAGATGCTCAGGCCGTTTGGCCACGACTGGGTAGGCTTGCTGCTTCATCTGGTTGATCCCGGCTGGCTGTCGGATAGGGAGAGGTGCTGAGGCCTCGGAGCTGCTCGTGATGTCCATCTGCTCCACTGAGGACACGTCCATGGCCTGCTCCTGAGGAGACGTGAGGACACTTGGTCCTAAGCCGGGGATGAGAGGGCTACGGGCCCAGCCTGGGCTGCGAGGACAAAGGAGAGAATATGATCAAAGGAACAGGGTTTTTATGAGTCAGTTTGATACAGATCTGTGGCAGCGTCCAGATTAGGCCTGGACAGTCGAGTTTAACGAGTGAATTTATGCAGCTGCCTTTTTTATATACCGTATTTTTCACCCTATAAGTCATGTTTATTTGCATAGTTTGCATGCCCTGCGACTTAAACGCTGAAGCGACGTATTTATGGATTTTTTCCATATTTATGAACCAATTTTTGGCTGAGATGACTGTTTTCATTCATTCTGACTGAAAATATTGAACACTACCAGTTTCAGCCGCTAGATGGCACTCAAGCTGTATGGCATGTTGTTGTGTCATGTAATAGGTAAAAGTGGCTATTAATGACACAATCGGCTTGCCATAGCCTGCCACGTTCGTCCAGCTCGCCTGGAGTAAATGTCAAATCAGCTTCATTTTGCTGCACCACCCCGGCAAAATGCAGCTAATTGGACCATTGAAGCTCATTTAATAAGTAAAAGTTCAACCGAGACACATCTTTGCTGTAATGTCGAGAAAACGGATAATTGTTTTAGGAGCTTATCTTGTTAAATTTTGAAGAAATGCGCAGCGTTCCTTCCTTTTTTCCTCCGTCTGTGTGCTCCCGGAGCACAGAGGCAGCGAATACTTTTGAAATGCAGCTGATTTGATCGTTAAAGTGCATTTATTAAGGAAAAGTTAGACCGAGACACACCTTTACTATAAAGTCGTGCAAACAAATAATTATTTTTAAGTGTTAATCTTGTTGAATTCTTGTTAAAGTCCTCCCATGCACACCCCAGCAGCCACCATTTGGCAGCCAATCGATTTTTGGCACAACACCGGACCACATTTCCAGGTTGTCAGCGGTGACGCATAATAGATGCGACTTATACGGAAGCGAAGCGACGTATTTATGGATTTTTCCACTTTATTAGACGTATTTGGACTAATGTGACTTATAGTGCGCAGCGACATGTATGGTGGAAAATACAGTACATGGCACCTGGTGGTGGCATCTTAAGTTACTTTTACAGATGGTGTTTGTCAACATTTATTCACCAAAAAAAGAAAAAAAAACAAACTTTAAGCACACAAGACTCTTTCTGTTATCAAAGTTTATTTTGAGAGGATAATAAAGTGGCCACTAAAGTGAGTGATGAGATCAGCTTTACTGTCGAGTATATGTACTTTACTATTATTTATTTATTGTGTATTTAATCAGACAAACCACATTGAGATCACAGATCTCTTTTGCAAGGGAGGCCTGGGCCTGAAGTCAGCCTAACATGCATGTTTTTGGTCTATGGGAGGAAACTGGAGTACCCAGAGAAAACCCACGCAAGCACGAGAAGAACATGCAAACTCCACACAGAAAGACCCCAGGTCCAACCGGGGATTGAACCCAGGGCCTTCTTGCTGTGAGGCAACAGTGCTAACCACTGAGCCGTCGTGCTGCCAAATACCGTGTCCAAAATCATAACGTGGCTGCTGAGCCATTAGCATTCGTTACGACGGCTTTCCCTGCTTTAAATAGTTTGTTATTGCGCTGACACTATTAATTATTCTCTCATGAGTAAAAACCAAGGCTGTGTAGTGAGAAGAATTACTGCCATTAGGTTTTATGTTTGGAGTGGTAGTTCAGCAGAGGACCGGGACAGTGGTCTGAGTTCAAATATATATAAAACCTTCTGACAAATTTAAAAAAGTGTTTTTGTTTAAAACGTCAATCTCTAATGAAGTTTGTCGTGTTTAAGAGAAAGTTGCTGCAGATGAACAAACGCACCTCAGAAGTGTTCTTGGGCTGTCCATGATCCTCCGGGGCGAGCGGATTTTGGGCTCGAATGAGAACTTCTCTTTGATGTTATCCAGGACTGACGGAGCAACGTACGTAAAGCCCTAAAAATAAAAAGATACAATGCACTGTCTTACAAAGTCATCTTTCACTAACTGAGCACAGATCTGACGAAATCAATACTGAATACGACGCCTGAGAACCAACGACCCTCACTGACACTGACAAGGATTGACATTAAACATTAAAGTGACATTTATTTATTTTTACTGCAAAACCTGTAAAGTGAATTGGTGGAAACTGTCACATTAGGAAAGCAGAAGTTGGGGTCTAAACTGGTACCAGAAAGACTTGATTTGCACTCTCGCTGAGGGTGGAATCGTCGGGGCTGTCCACTGGCGTCTGACTCGTGAACTTCGAGTCAAACTGGCTCACATCGTCCGCCGATTGCTGCGAACACACAAGACAAGAAACACACGGGGACGAGTTACAACAACATGAGATAAAGTTTCAGCTGTCGGGAGAAATGGGAGAAGATCCGGATCCTTTCTTGAAACGTGAGCTGCATGACTTACCGTAGCATTGTTTTTAAAAACATTTCTCAAATTTCTGTCCTACAAGATTACAGGTGTTATTCAGAACGCCTTAAAGTACGCTCTTGGTTATAGCCAGGGGAATTTAGGTAAAGGTTTATGGATGTTTATCACTGCTGAGTTAAAGTTACTGTGTGTGAGGCCAGAGTTCTCTGTGAGAAAAGCCTGCAGGCACCCGACGTCTCCGAGTCTAAGAGGCGAGGTCACCATGCTGATGAGCTTAAAAACACTTCCTGCCTCACTGTCCGGTGCAGATTCTCACTGACGAGACCCTAAGATGCAGCTTTGTACATCTGTGGAAGTCTGTTTCGAGACCGATCTGCCCTTGCAAGTAACCGTCCTTAAAAATCTTCTCTCTTTGAGTGGCTCCTTTTTTGTAAGTAGATAAAAACAGGATATTTATTTATCCAACAGTTACACTCACCAGGATGGGCTTGAAGGGGGGCTCCACTTTCCGAGCCAGCAAATCTTCCCAGTTGATGTGTCGAAAGAAAGGATGAGCCTATCGAACACCAAAACCAGAATTAGACGCACGCATTTCAGCATCAATTACTTTGGTGGAAAGGTTTCTAGTACCAACTCTGCCTTAACTCTTGAGTTTTTAAAGTGTTTCACTGTCCAAGCTCGACTTACACTTGAGCAAACATCAGCCCCAAACAAGTGTCTGAATGTATTTGTGCTCTGGAGCCAAAAAGACACATCTAAATAATCAGCTGCAAACATTTACAACTCCTATTCAGTATGTAGGCCTGTCACGATAAATAATAAATCAATTAATCGCATGATAAATTAAAAATATCCACCTCATTTTAATTTATTGTCTTTATCGTTTCTTCATGTCTCTCTTTCTACTGAAGACACTGGATGACAAAAGGCTCAACGCCGGTGTTCTTCACTGATCCCTCCCTTTCTCTTTAAAATCTGTTTCAACAATCCAAAATCGCGTTTTTGGATTGTTGAAAGCAGCTAAGCTGAGAAGCTAAGCTACGAGCTAAGCTAACAGGCTGACCTCGGGAAAAAAACCTCCCTCTTGTCAAAGCTCAAAAATTCACAGTTGAAACCCGTGCCTTTGTGTAAAAAGTTGTTTTTCTCTGCAAAAAGAAGCTGAGAACTTGTTTACCGATATTTATTGAAAGCTTTGTGTGAAAAATGCTACGCTAAAGAGCTCAAAACACACCGAGCGTCCGCCATTTTGAGAATATTTTTTTGTGATACTACAACTTGTCCAGAAATATTTCAGAACTTAAACATTGGTATCTGATATTTAGACTGCACTGCTTAGTGAAAGAGTTGATGTTTAATTTCCTATTTTCTAGTCTTCTTTTTCTCACCTGCACTTCTGCAGCATCTCCTGGTCCTGCTCCCAGCCGTGATGAGGCATTTCTCTTTAGCAACTGAAAAATATGCAAGAACCATTGAATCGCACTGTAGAAAATTAATCTGTGGTGTTCCACAAAGTTCAATACTAGGACCCAAGATATTATTGACTGTCTCCAAAAGGTTGCCAATAAATGTTTTGTCTGTGTGTGTGTGTTCACTTGTCGCAGCAACATAGCTCATGAGCTACTCGCAGGGGTGTCCAAACGCTTTCATACGAGGCCCAAAACTATAAAGATGAAAGGACTTGTGAGCCACAAAAATGTGAATTTAACTCAACGTGAACAATATTTTAGAGAAAGGACAAAAATTTAATAATTTTGGTGGAGAAAGAGTTTAAAATTGTTAGGGATCCAAAACATTAAAAGTGTAAATTAAAAAGTGTAATTTGAGTAAGAGTCCTTTTAAAAGGGGGTCAATCAGCCTTTTGGACCATGGACGACCCAAAAGGCTGATCGAAGTTCTGAAAAATCATCCAGCTGTCAATCTCTACAAGATTCATAGGTTTGATAAAGCTGATCAACTCGTATGTAGATGACACCACGTTATATTCATTTAAAAAGGTCCACTTTCCCTCTTTATTATTTTATTAACTGTAATATTTAGTCAAGTTTTACGAATCTTTATCCAAAAGTCTCCTTTATGTAGAAATCAGTGAAGGTTTTTGGTGCCTTGTACCATGAAGTGAAAATAAAAATATTAGTCAAAGGTTTGTATTTTGTTTAATATTGCTCCTTGTGAAAAGTTTTACATCAGTTTTGCTGTTAAACCTAAACTTTATATAAAAAAGGATTACCAACTAATTTGCAGAAAGTCTGCATCGACCTCTTAAACCAAAATGATAACATTCGTAAACTGCAGTTGTGGACCGCACAAAATCACTCCAAGGGCCGCAAATGGCCCTCGGACCACACTTTGGACACATGTGAGCTATTGCATAGATTTTAATTAAATTCTCAAAATAATCACTGAATGCACATCTAGAACTGATTTACTTTTTTAGTCAACCTTATTCAAGATGGCCACCACAGCTGAGCAACTTTAGAAAAAAAGTTTTTAAGGAGGACAACATGCATTCGTTCAAAGAAGGCTAGGTCTTCACTTGTTATTTTATTTAAATACATTTTTTTTACTGTAATTACTACAATAAAAACTATAATGTTTGCAGATGTCAAACTACTTTAGCTTTGGAAAAGACATAAAAAAAGAGCAGTAAGAACAGAAGGAAAAAACTGATCATGATTAGAAAATAGTTTGATATGAATAAATGATCAGTAGTCATTTTAAAAAATAAAAACTAATTTAAAGTGTTGTTGTTTACTTTCTTTATTTATTTTTAGCTACTACCACGTCAAATTTTAGCCCAATATTTGTATAAATGACCAAGTTATAGTCATTTTTGTGTTTGCTAATAGAGCCTGACCGATACATCAGTAGGGCCGATAACTTAGGCCGATATAGGCGTTTGTGGACATATCGGGTGATAATTGGCACATTATGCGACGATATAAGCACAGGGAACAAGCCATGTCCTTACATGCAAAAAAACGTAATTGTACAATTATCCAGCAGAGGGCGCATGCAGATTACTTTCAAGTTAGGCCGCTCTAACTTTCACTTTCAGCACAGATGAAGCAGGGAGCAATACTGTGTAGAGTATTTGGCTAAACAGAGCCTGGTAAGTTTATTGTAACTGATCTGTAAAATAATATAATTGAAAAAAATCAATAAATTCTCTTCAATCCTCCAACCTGCTTGTCGTTAGCTACGTGCCTCTCAAGTTAACAAGCTAACATTTAGATAAGCTAGCAGAGGTTAATGCCTTGTAAAACTTTATCCAGAACAACAAATATAATGTAGCGGTAAAATATATCAGTGTTAGTAACTTTATCTTTGTCATCCTCAATGAAATGTATTGTTAGTCTGAAATCTTTACTTATCTGCAAAGAAAAACAAAAAACACTGCTGCTGTCAATACTAATCAGACCATCACCATATGTGACTGTTTAAACAATGAACAGGGAAGGGTGTTTCTTTAATTTATATTTATGTAACACACTTGATAACTTTATGATGAATAGTGGAGGATAGAAAATGTGAACGCACGTTAGAAAGACTGTTTCAAGACTTCAAATGTTAAAACAGGTTTACAAGTAGCTGTTTACGTCGATTCTTGGGGGTGGAGGAAGCTCAAAAGCCATTTCATCAGTAATAATAGCATTAGCCTCCCCCTCCCAAATATCACTATCATTTTGTTCTTTGTTCTGGTAGTAAAATAATGGAATCAACTCTGTAACAAGTTAAATGTTAGTAAATCGTTAACAAAGATTTGAAATCTAAGTTGATTAAAGTTTGTAATGAAAATTGATTCATTTGTGCATATTGTGAGATTTTTTCACAGTGAAATTGTATATCGTGTTGGGTCTTTTTCTGTCTTGTGAACTGTGTTTTTGTCTTCTTCTCAATTGTGTGACAGTATTTTCTTTTAATGTTTTCATAAAACGACTTGATATGTAAAGAACTGAAATCGACTCCACTTGTTCATTCCAAGTGACTGAGTCCTGAAAACCAAACTTTAAATACCCGTTTGAGGAGATCTCTGGCTTCTTGTGTGAGGTAGGGCGGCAGGCTGAGTTTGCACTTCAAGATCTTGTCAATGGTCTTTTTACGGTTCTCACCGGTGAAAGGTGGCTACAATCAGAGAAGACAAACGAGGGGTGACTCAAACACCCTAAAATATGATTCTACTTAATACCAGCCCATTAATAAAAGTTACTCAAGTTGTTTTTTACTGACCGCTCCTGTGAGCATGTCATACATCAGAGCGCCCAGACTCCACCAGTCCACAGCTCTGTTGTGCCCACTTCTCATCAAGATCTCTGGAGCCCTGCAAACAAAGCAACCCCACCAATCTTATGAACATAGTAACAATAAAAAACAAAAACTATCAGTGAGGAAAAAACAAGAGAAACACAAAAGTGCGACTACATCATAGGTACAGGGATGAGAAAGGAAAGGGCCCGTACATGTATTCAATAGTTCCACAGAAAGTGTGTGTAACTGTCCCATCATGAATGGATTCTTTACACAGACCAAAGTCAGTCAGTTTTACATGACCTGGAAGACAAAACACAGATTTAAGTAAAAAAAACTATAAACTGATGCAGCCAAGTGTCATTTTATTCACATAAAGGCATCACTGGAGCTGCGTGGACCCACCTTGGCTGTTGAGCATAATGTTCTCAGGCTTGAGGTCTCTGTAGATGATGCCTTTTTGGTGCAGATGACCCAGAGCCATGGAGATCTCTGCTAGGTAAAAACTACATAAAGGAATAAATATGAACAGTTAAAAAAAAAAACAAAGCCAGTATCACACCAATATGACTTCAAGCCAGGTTTGTGGTCTGTTTATCACATTAATTTATTTTACAGCTAATTGTTATATGATGAAAAATAACAATGTTAACCTGCAAAATATTTTTTATTCATTAACTCGTTTACCAGGGCGTCTCTGTGGACTGGACGTCCTGGGATCTGGACATTACTTATTAACAAACAGTTATTTCCTGAAGTGCCTTCTTGTCACATGAGCCAAACAGCCATGATGTCACCTCTTCTAAAAGATCAGCTCAATATGAATCCAAGCATGCTCACCAGGCTGTGTCCTCCATGAAGATCCCTTCTCTCTCCAGCTGCATGAACAGCTCTCCTCCTGCACAGAGAAACATTAGGTTTGTAAGCTCAGTCGTCCACGTCAATAAATACAAAAAACAAAGGTTAAATCAGGTCATCGGGACAGTTTCTTTCCAGATGACCTGATTTAACCTTTGTTTTTTGTAAACATTATGAGTTACAAACAAAGGTGGCACACACTGAGATGAGAAAACACGTTTCTGAGACATTTTGTTTTTAATCTACAATTCTGAACAAATTCTGACCCCCAAACTGTAAACACATATTTTACAATAAACTGCACACACTTCATTACACATCTGTAGCAGTGGAAAATAAACAAAAATCATTTTAATGTTCTCCCTAACTATTTTTTTTTTTTAAATAAGACTAACTGTATGTTTTTGAACCTATTGTCTAATGCAGGGGTCCTCAAACCTTTTGGGTTCAGGGACCCCCTCATAACCCTCATGTTTATTGAATACTTTTCGTCACTTTGTCTTTTTAATGCAATGGAAATATTTGTGTAACAAATACTTAAGACCTGTTTTTTAATAGTGTTAATACAATTTGTATACTTTAAAACATGAGGTATTTTTCATTAAAGACACAATTAATTAACAAAAAACTTCCAAAGATTAGAGTTTTGAGAAAATTAACAGAATCGAAATCCACTTTAAAACTTTACCTATTCACATAATGAACATAAATATAGTGATACTTCTTCAAATTATTACAGAAAAACTATTCAGTGTTTCCCCTACCATTATACAAGCGGGGCGCCCCGCCCTGTCAACAGAACTGAGCGCCCCGTCTACTAACACCCCCCCCCCCCCCCAAACCACCTGTCGGCACTGACGTAACGCTAAACTAGCGGCTCGCAATGCAGGTGTGCTAGCTAAAAAAGCTAAAGGCAGCCTCTTCCCTCACGCTGAACGCACCCCTGCCACTCAAAAACTGATCGGTACAAACAGCGCACGGCTCAGATGTGTCTCTGTCTCTCTCCTCTCACACACCCTGCTCCAAAACTGTAAAACTGTGCAAACAGCACACGGCTGTCTCTGTGTCCCCCCACCCCAAAAATGTTGGTTTAAGCAGCTTAGGACATGTCTCTGTCCGTGCACCCACCCCCCGGACAAAAATCACGGACAAGATGAGCGCCCCGCCATGGCAAGTTATCTAGGGGAAGCACTGCTATTTAAATGAACCTGAACAGAATCATCACAGCAGTAATCAGACCAAGGACAGGTCTTACACTGTAAACTGATCAATGCTGGAATACAAGTAGTTTGTGTGTGTGTGTGTGTGTGTGTGTGTGTGTGGGGGGGGGTCCTCCCACAGAAAATGTTGAATAAAGTAAATGTGTGCATTTTGGAGTATTTTAATAGTTTGTTAAACATCTATATGCTACTATATATAATATATATATATATTTTTTTTTCAGACCCCTGAGCACTGGCTTGTGGACCCCAGGGGGTCTGCGGAACCCACTTCTAGAAACACTGGTCTAATGAGGATTTAAGAGAAGTTCAAACTTGTGTAGCTCCTTGTGTTCTATAACAATTCGTTTCAGCGCCCGTCTCTTCAAGGCTCAGACTAAAGAGCCACACACAAATGGCAGAATGCTGATAGCAAAGTTTTCCTTCGTTTAATTATGTAAACATAAACCATATGGCATCATCATGCTTCTGAACAGGCTTAAGGAGCAAACAACCTTAGAACAGTTATTTTCTGGGGGAGATTGAGATTTGTTTTGTAGTAAGCCCAAAGTGTTAACACAGTGAAATAAGGGAAACATCAGCGTACGTGCGGCGCATACTGTATGTTGTCATGACTGTACTGACCACTGAGGTACTCCAGGATGAGGTACAGCTTCCCTCCTGTCTGGAAGGCGTAGATGAGATCGACGATGAAGGGATGCTTCACTTCCTCCAGAATGTTCCTCTCTGCCTTGGTGTGAGCTGTGTCCTTAGCATTGCGTACAATCATAGCCTGACGCCAGCAGCCAAGAGGAATAATTCAAAACAAACGTTGGTTAAAGGGAAAACACAAGCTGATTGTTCAATTATTTGGGGGGCGGGGCTCTGTTACAGTTCCTGAGTCAGCTGCTTCACCTAAACTGAGGAATGACTTTTTTTATTTCAATTTTAAATTTATAACATAAACAAAAAGGCGGTTCAAGCTGTTACTGAATATTTCACGTTATATTGTGAGAGTTGTAAATATTCCTTTGAATAAATCACGATAACAATCCAAATACTAAACTTTGAACATGCAGTGATAAATGCATCAAAATGAGTCCAGACTGACTGCAAGCTCGTTGTTTGTTCTTCATGCTTTAACGCCATCTCTTCTTGTGCCGTTCATATTTTAGTCAGCAGTAACGTCGTGTCAGCATTCAACGTCTGAAGGTACGACAACGAGCTAAAGAGTTGTAGCAATGTTCTTCTAGTTTATCTGATTGTTCTCTCGACTTGGAGAACCCCGTTCTCCTCCTCACGCAAATAAACACACAGAGCAGAGAAAGTTCCCTTCTATCAAGTCGATTAACAAGCCATGAAAAGAAAGAAGACAATTTTATAATCATCTATTCAGCACTGAAAGGCTATAAAGACGAAAATTACAAAAGCTAAAAGGTAATTTTCAACCATCTGTTATACATTTATTGTTTAAACATTTAAGTGTTGGAAACAGCAGAAACATTTATTTATTTCAGTTTGTTCTGAATCAATAATAAAACGTAAAAACATTTATATATTTGTGCATGAATACCAGTTTAAACAAAACAAGTATTAAAAGTGCAACTCAATCTAAGGATAGGAAAAGTTTGATAATTGAAGTTTAAACCAGAATCAAGTTGGGTAATGTCTAAAATCGGAGCACACCAACCTGATGACAGCTCTGAACCTCGTTAAACTGCAGGAGACATCGGTATTTACTTCCTCAGCTGAAAAACTTGTTTTCTGCCACAAGTTTAGCACTTGGTGTAAATGAACAACATTTGAAATATATATATATATATATATATATAAAAAAATAAACGAAATTACATTAGAAAAAACGAAAATTATATAATTTTTGAATGATTCCATTTTTTCAAATGTGATTCCGTTTTTTTTTTTAAACGTAATTCTGTTTCAAATGTAATTCCGTTTTTTCAAATGTGATTCCGGCCATTTCCGGTTTGGTTTAATGTAATTCCATTTTTTCAAAAGTAATTCCATTTTTTCAAATGTAATTCTGTTTTTTCAAATGTTCTTCATTTACACCTCAAGGCCAAAGTGCTTCACAGCTAAAACAAAGAAGTGAATTCTGGCTGGTCATTAATGTGTCACTGGGTTCATGCTGAGCAACTGGGCCAAGGCAGCTTCAAAACGTCGAGCAGGACCTAATGGGCTCGAGCAGAGCCGAGGCTGCAGCTGAGCAGTGCAGATGGCAATCTACCAACTAACAGTCAAATCTTGCCCCACACGTCAGAGGCAGCCAGTCTTTGCAGAAAGAAAGCCCTCAGAGCTCACAAACATGCAACGTGTTCAAGTAAAACATGTAAATTCAAAAAACAGAGCAGGGTACGCCACACTTATATTGTACATGAACGTAAATACCTTTTTCAAAACTTTCATGGCAAATATTTTGCCCGCTGTAGCTCCGACGACTTTACGAACTTGAAAAACCTGCAGAGCGAGGAAAAAAAAAGACTGACGTTTTAAATAATCTGAACGGTAACGGGTCAACGGTGTTATGGGGGCAAAATAATTCCACCCGTGTGTTAAATATGATTCATACCTTCCCGTAACCACCTTTCCCGAGGACCCGCAACAGCTCGAAGCACTCCGGGCGAATGTTCTCTGTCCCCTGATTCACGTTATCCTCTGAGATCTCAATCTTCTCACAGCCCTCCATGTTGCTGCAGAAGGATACGTTTACACCAGCTCTTTTGTATAAATACTTTGTATATGAAAGGTTCAAAGGAAGCAAGGCACGTTGAAACACTTACAAGTCGAATCCAGTGCACTGCTCCATGATGTCACCAATCTGAGCCTGAAGAAAACGGATCACAAATACAAACGTTAAATTGATGGTTGTGTTATTTCTTCTTGCCTGGCATCAAAAGGCAAAGGGAGACAATTATGTTTTAGTGTCTGTTATTAAAAATTATCTCATGAACCACAGGCCATACTTGAAGAAACTTAACATTATTACATTTACAAGTGAATATTTTTAAGTCAACCCAATTCAAGTCGGCTGCCATAACAAACCAATATGAGCCTACAAAAACAATTGATATAACTCAGCTAGTTCACAAATATTGAGCTAAAGGTTAAAGTGGTAGTAGCTGAGTGTCATTCAAAACACACCCTCTGAGAGCCATTTCATGATATCCCATAATACTGTGCATTTTCAAAGTCTGACAACACATTAAATTGAGCTAGTCAGCTAATTCCAGTGCATTTATAATCTGTGTAACGCAGAAAGATTTATCAATGTGCACCGTCCTTTTAAATAAATAAATAAATGAGCAAAGCTGCAGCACCTTACAGGTTTTTCATCACAACATGATCTTGATGTAAAACACGGGCAAGATGTGCAGTGTGTGGAAAGCATCACTTCAAGAAATGCAACGAGTCTGAATCATCAGAAAAATTATGTTTGACATGTTAATATTTTATGCAAGGATGCCAAAGTGCCTTAGTTTATGCTGGTTTTAATCTGACCAAACATAAAAACATTGCTTTAAGTCAATCCCGCAGCATTAATATTATGGATGTCTGGATTAATTATCATACAGTACAAACGTGTTACAAATACACAAGCTGCTGTGGTGCGAGGAATGTCATGGTATAAAAGCATAATGATGCTAAAAAATATATATATCTAACCATAGACTTATCTGTGTCCATCATAAAAAACAGCAAGAGCAAATTTGGGAAGTAGAAATTGAATTTCATCAGACGTAAAATAGAACTTGAATGAAATATTTTATATGGCTATTGAATTATAGATGCACTTACCAAGATAAATGTTTATAAGTACTGTACCAGGTAACAAGTTCCCTCACACACCATCCTGGTCTCCTATTTTATAGGTACATGGTGCAGTCAAGTCATGGTGTGTGGTGGTCCAGTTACTTCCGGTACACGTAAGCACCTGGTACCCCTTTATTGCCCAGTATACATAACCCTTAAGAACCCAGTAAGTAGCCAATTAATAGTTAAATAACTGGTAGGAACCCGTTAAATACTCAGTAAGAATTTGGTACATACTTGTTTCATACTCTGTAAGTAACTGGTACGTATCCTTTGATCCTATATAACCATGTTGTATCCAGTAATTGGTATATAAGTGGTACCTTACCTGTAAGTACATGTGCAAACACTGTAAGAACCTGGTAATACTCTTTAACATTCTGGTAGATGCTTTGTAAGAACACAGTACGCAACAGGTAAGAACTTGGCTGTATATATATATATATATATATATATATATATATATATATATATATATATATATATATAACCACTTAAAATTATGGCTGCATGCATATAAAACGCATTTGCATTCAATTCAACTACAATTATTTTTATATATTTGCATAAACGGTGCATTAACACTAAATATTTATGTTTTGCAGATGTACTGCAGCTTTGACTTGGTGATTTGTTGTCGGTGTGTGTGTGTGTGTGTGCACAGCAGCAAAGGGACAGGCAGCCCACTCAGTCCCACTCAGTCCCACTCTGCCACATCTTGCCAAAATAAACTGTTGCACACGGAGCCGCATTTACTGCAGCACCTTCGGCCAAGTAAGGTCCACAACTCCAACATGACAGCGAAGGGTTTCAAAAGTGAGCGTCGAGAATGCAAAAATATTAACCCGAGTTTCAAATAATCAAAGAACAAGTAGTAATCACGTCACATTCGCTGTCAGGTTAATCGCAGCAGCCTGGGTTTGTGAAAAGGCCCGACAGCTCTGGCTGCAGGCTGGAGCAGGGCCTGCAGTGGGAGCTGCCAGGCTAACAGGCTAACAGCTAAGTGCGCGTGTCAACGAGTTTCTCTTCCGTGACAGCTTCCGTAAAAGTACCTCCTCGATCTCATCGTCGGAGACGATTTCCTCCGGCTGGTCCAAGTCAATGTCGAACACTCCAGCCATGGCAGCGAGCCGCTCGAATCGCTCTGTGACAGAACGCAGGAATAGCAGGCGTCCCCCACCTCATGGACAAACATACACTGCCACCATAACCGGCTACTACACCGAGCATGCGCAGTGCGAGGCTCACAACAAAGGGGCGGGAACTTGTCATTGTCTCATTATAGTACAGAGCCAGTCATAAATAAACGCACCCCACACACACTCAAAACATTAACAAATTAATAAACAAAAGCACACAACAGTCGATAATACAGCTACTAAAATTATATGAGAATGATAGCAAATGATGTCATTATTTACTTTATTCAAAGGCTTTTTGCTTTGTGTAAGATTAAAACTTTTGAAGCTGATTTTATCAAACAAAAAAAAAAAATAGTAACGACGTTGTCACGACACATGTAAAGATACATCTTTTATGTTTAGTGGATGCGTTTTCATTCTCAAGGTTTCCGTAGTGTAGTGGTTATCACGTTCGCCTCACACGCGAAAGGTCCCCGGTTCGAAACCGGGCGGAAACATTATTTTGTTGTTGACAAGAGATATTTATGAGTATATTTATGAGTATAGAGTGTGGTCGCATTAAAGAAAATTTAAATATAACAAACACTTTACAAAAGCAATCGGGAACCCAATCTAAACAAATTATAATTAGATTTTTTTTAACGCAACTGAGTAATAGAAAACACAGTTTATGCATACATAAACTTTTTATATAAACTATATCTAATCTAACTTTCACCTAAAAAAATTCTAAAGAAAATAGTTGCTGGTCTACGACGGAGTACATGATCATTTGCAAAAAAATCAATGACAAATTACACTCCATTACCAGTAGGTGGTGGTAATCTGACACATGTAAAGAAGGTACATCGTCAGGAGCAAGGTTTCCGTAGTGTAGTGGTTATCACGTTCGCCTCACACGCGAAAGGTCCCCGGTTCGAAACCGGGCGGAAACATTATTTTGTTATTGACAAGAGATATTTACGAGTATAGAGTGTGGACGGATTAAAGAAAAGTTAAATATAACAAACACTTTGCAAAAGCATTCCGAAACTTAATCTATACAAATTATAATTAGATTTTTTTTAAACGCAACTGAGTAATGGAAAACACAATTTATACATGCATAAACTATATCTAATCTAACTTTCATCTAAAAAAATAAAAATCCAGAGAAAATAGCTGCTGGTCAGTTACATCTGCAACGAAATAATCTGCTATAAAAGTAAAACTGAACTGAAATAAAATGCATTCACACAGTTGAGTCAATGACGAACTACACTTCATAACCAGTAGGTGGCGGTAATGTACACCTTCAGTTTTTCTGCATCCGCCAAAAACAAACTTCACAAGAAGAAGAAGATTTTTTTTTAAACAAAACTTTATTTACACAATTAGTTAAAACAACAGTGTTTTAAAGAAGAAGAAGAAAGGAGCAAGTGGTACAGAAGGTTCGGGACCAGCTTGTAAATGTCAGTAGTGACACTGCAGCTGGGTCAGTGCGGTAACCAGGTGGGTCCGGAGCTGTTCGACATCATTTGGAGCGATGTTCAGGAGGGACAGAGGAAAGCGTACAGCTCGAGCAGCTGGGACCGCTTCTTCCGCCGAACCGCCCAGGGAGGTAGGACTATCCTGTCATACCGTATACTTATATTATAAGTAGTATAAGTATAAGCTTTAATTCCTGGGATTTATATGTCCTTTTATGTTATGTTATTTAATATCTTGTAAAAAGATCTGCAGCTCTTCCTCTCTAAGAGTCTGTTGCAGACATGTTCCTGTTTTTAGTTTTCTATATTGGCCTTATAATCCAGCTGTTTTTTGTTACTTTTTTTAGCCATCTTATTTGTAAAAAATAAAAATCTGTTTGCCTTTTTATATCTGTCTGTCTGTTGTTGTCATCATTCTTTGTTGAAACCAGGTCTCTCTTGTAAATGAGTCCTCGAGGCTCAATGGGATCCACCTGTCTAAATAAAGGTTGAATGAATGAAAAATGTGTTTCAGGCTTTGAGGCCAGGGCGGTACTGGTTGATATGGAGCCCAAAGTCGTGAACCAGAGCGTGATCAAGGCTGCCAAGAGTGGCAGGTGGAGGTACGGAGAAACTTCCCACTTTAGCCAAAAACAGGGCTCTGGAAACAACTGGGCTAATGGGTAAGAGACGAACCCACCACCGCTGTAACTTATTGTTCCAGCTTCATGTGTGACTTCTAAAACATGCTGATAATGTTCCGACTGCACCCAACCAGGTATCACGTCCTCGGTCCCCGTCACAGGGACGTGGTGGAGCAGCTGGTGAGGCGGGAGGTGGAGCGCTGTGACATGCTGGCAGGTTTCATGCCCCTCATGAGTGTTGCAGGGGGAACAGGGTCAGGAGTTGGTACCTTTGTCACTCAGTGTCTCCGAGACATGTACCCAGCGTCCTTCATCCTCAACCACCTCACCTGGCCGTACGGGGCGGGAGAGGTATGTACACTCACTTTTTATCGCCTGCCTGATGAACTTGTGGAGTCGGTTCAAATCTCAGATGGCCACACAGATGAACAACTTTACCAAACACAAAAATGGCTGCGACTTGGTCAGGTTTACAGATATTGAGCTAAAATTTGGCTTGGTAGCAGCTGAGCGTCATCCACAGTTTATACTCTGAGCACTAGCTGATCGCACCATACCTCGTAAAAAAATTGCGTGCGACTACACAGGACACATATTTTCTGTATATTTCTGCATAGTTGAAAACAAATTGAAATCATCCATCCATTGTCTTTACCCACTTCTTCTCAGGTTGTGGGGATCACTGGTGCACATTTCCAGCAGTCACTGTGTGAGAGGTGGGGGACATCCTGGACAGGTTGCAAGTCCATCACAGGAAAATTGGGGGCGGGGGGGGGATCAAAATAAATGAAATTGCACGTAGTGGTGTTTTTAAGTTTTGATCAAAACGGCTACATTTCTCCACAAACGATAATCTTAGTCCAGAACCTTCGCTTGAAATGTGGAACCAAACGCAGATTATTTCAAAGAACGCCAGGCCTTTATTTAGAATGAGAATTTTACTACTTTTATTATGAGCTTTTATTTTTCCCTTTATCTCGTTCTTTCAGGTGATTGTGCAGAACTATAACTCGGTGCTGACGCTGGCGCACCTCTACCAGCTTTCAGACGCCATTCTGGTGCACGAGAACGACATCGTGCACCAGATCTGCAGTCAGCTGCTGAACATCAAACAGATCTCCTTCAGTGACATCAACAGGGTTATTGCTCACCAGCTGGGCAGCGTCCTGCAGCCGGCGCTCGCACCGCACTCCCACGGAGCCTATGGACAAAATCCTCTTGGTGAGGATGACGCAGGCAGACACAAACACCACCACATGACTTTAATAAATGTCCCACAGATGTTGATCAGCAGCAACAAGTCTACAAAAGCATGAATAAAACCCCTGCTGAATAAGACAAGTTTTACACATGCTCTCAGTTTATGAATATTGTATTTTTGCTCATGGTAATTGTTTCCAATTTTACTATATTAGTGGAAGTTGTTGGAACAATTACCTAATATTATTATTTCAACAGTTTGTGATTGTATCTGCTTCTGGTTTTTGTAGTTTTATCCGGTACCAAATGCTGAACTCAATCAAATAAAGCTTAATGGGTGAAAGCCCAGGAGGACTAAGAAGGTGAAGAAGAGGCAAAGCTAATGTTTGCTGAACTTTCATAATTAGACATCAGTGTTCCTCACAAAGTGTTGTACTAATCCTGTAGAAGAAACAATGAATGAGCTGTTTGTCTGACATTTGTTTGCCTCTAGGTGACCAATAATAATAACTAGAGCAGTGTGAATGCTTATTCCACAAGAACTTGCTGAAAAACAGCTGAAATTATCTAAAAACATGCTGAAATGTAGCTGAAATATAAGAACAAGCCTAAATTTGCAGACAAAATCAGAAAGAACACATATTTTGCTGAATCAGGTTTAAATGAGCAGAGAAATTAGAAAATTAGCTAAAAACGGCTTGAATTTGTAAAAAAAAAAAAAAAAAAGCTTAAAAGTAGCTGAAAAGGCAAAAAGAAGCTTAAGTTACCAGAAGGAATTGGAAAGTGTTGAAATGAGCTAAAAAAAATGTAGAATTAGCTGAAAAAGCTAAAATTTGCGTAAAAAAACAGCTAAATAGTAGCTGAAATAGCAGAAAAACTGAAACCAGCAGAAAAAAAGCTGAAATTAGCATAAGAACTTAATTACCACAGAAAGTAGTGGGAAATTACCACACAAAACTTGAAGTTATATGAAAACAGCTAAAATTTACAAAAAAAAAATGCTAAAGGTAGCGGAAAAGGTAAAAAACAAAAAAGTTTAGAGTATCGGGAACAAAATGGAACATGTTTGCCCTGTTAGGTTGAAAGAAGCAGAACTGAGCACAAAAAAAGTGTAAATTATCTGTGAAAAGTTGAAATGAGCAGAAGAAAGTGGAGAGAGCACATTTGGACATGTCTCCAGTCCATCACAGGGACACACGGAGACAAACGAGACAAAAAACCATTTACTCTCTCACTCACACCTAGGGGTGCACCCCACCTCTCACACAGTGATGGGTGGATGGATGGATAGGCTGAGAAATGTTGAAATGAGTTAAAAATGTGGAATTAGCTGAAAATAAGCATAAAATCAACTAAATAGTAGATGAAATAATGGAAAAAGCTGAAACTTGCAGAAACAAGCTGAAATGAACATAACTAGTTGAAATGAGCAGAAAGAAGTTAGAAGAAGCACAAAAACGTTGTAGTTAGCAGAAAGAATCAGAGAGGAGCCCAAATCAGCTGAAAAAAGTTTGAATTTACAGAAGGAAGCTGAAAGAAGCTGAAGCAGAACAAAATATGAAAGGAGCAGTAAAAGTTGTAAACAGATTTAAAGAGCTGAAGGATGTTAAAATGAGCTCAATTCATTTTCTATGAGAAAAAAAATGGCAGAAAAGGTTAAATATTTCAAAAAGCTGAAGTTGCACCAATATGAAAAGTCATAGCAGGATTGTCCTGAAAGAGCTGTAGATGAACAGATGCTCAGATATATTCATCATTTAACACGGATTCCTCATTTTTCTGGACTGAATAAAACGTGCATTGAATTTAAGGAAATGCAAACGTGAGACGTCATTTACGTTTGACCCATCAAAATGAATGCGGTCATTTATTTACAGAATCAAAGTTTAACATCAAACATTTACATTAATTTGGCAAATTATGAAAATAACAACATAAGCAATCAATCAGGAAAAATCATACGGCCATGATTTTTCCGTTGCTTCACCACAGACATTTATGAAAACTGTACAATTATGATCTTTTACCCACATGGATGTGGGTGAGCATTTTACACAGACATTTCTAAAATATCTGGAAGAATTTCTACTTGAGAGAAAAGTTTAAAGATGAAAGAAGTTAAGAGGGAGTAAGAGGGTGTGTGAGGGGAAGTAAGTGTTCACCAGAATCGACACTCTCCATCAGAAACCCAGCTCGCCTCGGTACGCTTGGTAGGAAACTTGACCCATTACCTTTCTGATGATAATCAGCAGATATGGTGTTCCGTTAACGCTACCTGTCCAGCGTCTCCTTAGTATGGCTGTAGCTCGTCAGAAGTAGTGGCGAGTGAAAGGTGTTATATTCCCATGGAACTCGGAAGAGCTTGTTGTCATGTCAGGATCATCCCGTCTCTCACAGAACTGGGCTGTTCCAGCAGAACTGCGCAGAAACAGCATCCGAGCAGAGCCTCAACAGAACTATTGGACTGTGTATCCAGCAGAACTCCAACAGCACTCCATCAGAACTTCCTAGCAGAACTTCAACAGAACCGAGTAGACCAGGAAGTACTGACATTTTAAAGAGCTGTTTCCGGTTCACTTTTGGGAGTATTACCATTGGTCAGAACCGACCAGACGGGGTGTGTTTTGTGACGTAAGAGGTTAGAAGAAAAACAAGAATTGTTATGGAAAGATCAGAAATGTTCTCACAGACAGAGAGAGTTTTGTTTTGGCGCGTTTCAGAAACAGGTGCCAAAAACCTCTATATTACGTCTGAGAGGATTCTAAAAACATGACAGTTTTAACATAACAACTTGTTTTGCGTTTGACTCCAACCTTGGACCAACTTACACTTGCTCATTCAAAAGCAGAAATCAGAAAAGGCATAATTACTCTGTTACAGCTTTGACATGAGAATAAAAATCATTACACAGTTAATAAAATTGATTAGTTCACTGCCACATCTAAAATGGTTTGAACTAAGACACTTTGATTATCAACATTTGAAAAATAGTAATGATAATAAAAAGAGAGTGTTCTTTTCACTTGAATCTTCAAGAAAGAAAGTCTCAGGATGGGTGAACCTGTATTTCTGAGTTCAAATCAATGAAATGACAGTCCCTGTCCCACAAGGTTCTTAAGGTCAAGATTTTTGACCTTAGACTTAGTTTCTGACATGGGCCTAGTCCACTACAGTGCTGATAAACGTTTTGATACGATTTGTTGAAATGGCACAAAAATTGTGGAACGAGAAAGTATGGAAGAAAAATGGACCACAATAGTGTGAATGTTTCATGAGCGTTCACAGAATAAGCACGGCGGTGGCTGTATCATGCTGTGGGGCTTTTATGCTGCCGCTGATTCTGGAATAACTAAAACCATCAGGAACATTAGAAATGGGGACGTTACCTGTATATTTGGGGGGAACTCGTTTTCACCTCATGGAAAACAGGATTAAGGTGAAAGTGAAAAGAGAGTTGGGATCTGCAGTCGAGGATTCCTGTAAACTTTAAAGAGCTGAATTAAACATCAGTGAAAAAGAGACAAAGTTTAAACAAGACATGTTGGGACGCTTCAACAAAACCCTAAACCTTTGTGCACGTGCTTTCCATTCAGGGCTTTTATAAATATGTGCACCAGAATTTGACATTAACAGTGTACGATGAGGAGAAATGTACCGGCGGTGAATTTACTCAACCTGCTCCACCTTGCGAGCCGATTCGTCGTCAAAACTCTGTGTGTTGTCTGTCAGGTGAGCTGGTGAGCGCCCTCGCCTGCCACCCCGAGTACAAGCTGCTCGGCGTGTGCACCGTCCCTCACATGCCCACCTCCTCCATCGCCTTCAGCACGTTCAGCTGGCCGGCGCTCCTCAAACACCTGCGGCAGATGCTCATCTCCAACTCCAAGATGGAAGCAGGTAAAGTCCGCCAACTGGTTTGAGGATCTTTTGTTCCACGTCAGTGCCAGTTAACTCTTGTTTTATCAGTTTAATAATAAAAAAAAAAGATCATTGAGGGGTTTGAAGAGTTTAAAATCTGTTGTCAGGTGTGGACTGGCAGGTGCGCGCACCTGCAGCCTCGGCGCGGGTCAGGAGTCTCACCCGAGGCGGTTTCAACACCTCACTGGCCAATCTGCTCATACTGAGAGGGAAGGATGTGTACGGTGCAGAGACGGGTCGGGAAACGTGCTTAAGTTAAACAGCACTGTGTGAAATTACGTTTCATAATAATAAATCTACGATGCAGTGAAAGATATAAATTTATTTTGAAAACGAAATAATGCAGCTGTAATATAAAAACGTCTAATTGTGAATTTTGCTCTTCATAGGAGGTTTTGAAGATCCAGCCATCTACACGTCCTGGCTCCCATCACAAGAAGCTTTCAGCTCGTGGAAATGCCCAGTTCCCTTCAACAAGTACGAGAAGTCTGCTACGCTGGTTACGAACAGTCAGGCTCTGCTCACACCTTTGGATGACGTGGTGAGGAAAGCGTGGAACATGTTCGCTTCCAGGTGAGTCGGTGAAACGGGAAGCGTTTCTCAATAAAACAGGACGTGTTTTTTTGTTTTTTTCCCACAAAATTTTATTTGCAACATCATAGAATAACAACAACACAATTGAGCATAGCAATGGAAAGAAGAGAAGAATGGCCAGGGGCAGCATAAATTGAACAAAAGGAAAGTTAGAGTCGTATTACTCTTGCAGGAAGAAAACGATCGTATAACGTGTAATATATGTGCCTAGGAGTCTTATGTAAATAAAATAAAATAAACCCTAATATAAAAGATTGTCCACAATCCCAAGTTGGAAACAAGCCCATATTGTCATTTTTGCTTTTTGATTAGATCAGGGTCTAATTGTAAGCAAATATTGTTAAAAGCAGGAAGTGTTGTTCTCTGCAATCATAATTTGAACTTCATGTGTGAACTCTGTAGCTGATTATAAAAGAATCAGCTCTTTAGCTTACTGGGATTAAATGTTTTCGTTGGTCTTTCAGAGCATATGTGCATCGGTACGTTACCTTTGGCGTCTCGGAGGAGGACTTCCTGGACAGTTTTACAGCTCTGGAGCAGATCATCTCCAGCTACAGTCACCTGCAGCACTAGAACTGGAACAACCACAGCCATGGACTTGATTTGAACAAAATGTTTATATGGAATATAATTTATTTTTCTTAACTTGTAAATAAAACGTTTCCTTTAATAAGATTTTGTATTTTTTTATATCGAGTTTGACAGAAGTAGCAGCAGGACTTGATTCAGCTTAAATTTGTTATTAAATTATAATGGAGTAATGTAAAGCTTTTATCTTAATGCATGCTCAATAATCCAGGTAGAAAAATCTAAAAAAGTTAAATCTGGTCCTCTGGACATTAAAAATAAAAATAAAAATGTAGAAACGTTTCGTCTTTCATCCGAGAGACTTCCTCAGTCTGAGGTGCTGTATTCAGATCAGTCTCTTAAATAGCACCTTCTCAGGGTGGATCAACCAGTTTGCTGCTGACAACCAAAACCAGCTGATCACATGCTCAAGAAGGACCATCAGCCTAACAATGGATCATTAGAACACTGATGGCTGTTTACTATCCACAGAGGGCTGAGTGATACTAGCAATCACAGCATTGTAAGAGGGGGACAGTTGAACCCGGAGGCCTCCACCCCTGTTTAACGATGGACGATTTCACAAAGATGGCCTCCTTTACTCCTCTCTCAAACCATCGTTCCTCTCTGTCCAGGATGTGAACATCTTCATCCCTGAAAGAGTGACCGCTGGCCTGGAGATGAGTGTAGACTGCAGAGTCCTGGCCTGATGATGTTGATCTTCTGTGCTGGGCCATCCTTTTGGCCAGTGGCTGTTTAGTTTCCCCGATGTAAGATCACCCTCCTGACACTGAACAACATACACAATATTACTCTGGAAGGCCCAGTTAGGATATCCACTGCAGTCAACCTACTTCACATATGGGGAGCAATATTATAGGCAGAAACATGGGTGTGCTATGGGGTCTCCAGTTTCTCCTATTGTTGCCAACCTGTACATGGAGGAGGTAGAAAAGAGAGCCTTGACGTCCTTTTCAGGGACACCACCAAGTCATTGGTTCAGGTATGTTGACGACACCTGGGTTAAAATCAAATCTCAGGAAGTCCAACATTTTACTGACCACATCAACTCTGTGGATAAATACATCAAGTTCACACGAGAAGATGTAAAAAATGACAGGTTGGCTTTCTTGGACTGTGAGGTCTCAGTCTCGGATAGAGGACATTTGCAAACTGAGGTGTACCGCAAACCCACCCACACAGACCAGTATTTGCAGTTTGACTCCCATCACCCTTTGGAGCACAAGTTAGGAGTCATCAGGACTCTGTATCTCAGAGCAGACAGCGTCCCCACTAGCTCAGGAGCCAGGCAGAAGGAGAAATCCCACACAAGACAGGCTCTAGAGCAATGTGGATATCCTAACTGGGCCTTCCTGAAAGCAGAGAAGAAACCCAAACAGGACTCCAGTCAGCCATCAGGTGAAAAGGAGGAACCCAGACCCAGACCAGTGGTCATTCCGTATGTTGAGGGAGTATCAGAGAAACTGAGACGTTTATTTTCTAAACACAACGTCCCAGTGGCTTTTAAACCCCAAAATACATTACGGCAAAGACTGGTTCATCCCAAAGATCCAGTCCCCCGGCACAAACAGAGTAATGTTGTGTATGCTGTTCAGTGTCAGGAGGGTGATCAGTCTTACATCGGGGAAACTAAACAGCCACTGGCCAAAAGGATGGTCCAGCACAGAAGATCAACATCATCAGGCCAGGACTCTGCGGTCTACACTCATCTCCAGACCAGCGGTCACTCTTTCAAGGATGAAGATGTTCACATCCTGGATAGAGAGGAACGATGGTTTGAGAGAGGAGTAAAGGAGGCCATCTTTGTGAAAAGAAACCGTCCATCGTTAAACAGGGGTGGAGGCCTACCTGTTCAATTGTCCCCCTCTTACAATGCTGTGATTGCTAGTATCACTCAGCCCTCTGTGAATAGTAAACAGCCATCAGTGTTCTAATGATCCATTGTTAGGCTGATGGTCCTTCTTGATCATGTGATCAGCTGGTTTTGGTTGTCAGCAGCAAACTGGTTGATCCACTCTGAGAAGGTGCTATTTAAGAGACAGAGCTGAAAACAGCACCTCAGACTGAGGAAGTCTCTTGGATGAGAGACGAAACGTTTCTACTTTTTTTTTTTGATTGTTTTGTTTTTTGAATGTCCAGAGGACCAGATTAAACTTTTTTAGATAAAGCTTTTATTAAACTTTGGCATTTTGTTTTATTTTAATTATTGAAAAAAAATGTTTTTTCTTCAATAAAATCATTAAATGAAAGCTGTTTTCAGTTTTGTCCTTTTAATACTGCAAAATAAATAAAAACAGCCACTAGTGAGTAGAAGCCAAAGTATCTCCTGTGCTCGTCACAAGCCCAGGTAAAGGTGAGGGTTGTGTCAGGAAAGGCAGCTGGAGTGAAACACGTCAAAACAAAGAGATCAAGATACAGCCCAGGTCAAGTGACTCCAGACAGATGGTTTGGACATGTCCAGAGGAGGGACAGTGGGTATATTGGTAGAAGGATGTTAGAAATGCAGCTGCCAGGAAGAAGACAAAGGGGAGATATATGGATGCAGTTAGAGAGGACAGAGATGATTTTGTTGTAACCCCTGAAGAGGAAACAGCAGATCAAGGTTCTTTGTCATTCACATCACATGTGCTACATGAGGTGGAATGAAATTGTGTACTCAAGGTCCCAGTTACACCCAAAAATATAAAAAAGGAAAACGAGGATTTAAGATATACATTAAACAATAATATGGTGTATTAAACAGCAGCCTGAACATGAGTCTTGTGAGCAGATGGTATGAATATAGCAGCTTATGGGTAAGAAATCATCAGCATGGATAAAGTGTTAAATCTCCATTTAGCACGTGCCAACCTCAAGGCCCAGGGGCCATATGGCCGTCATTGACATCTGCCCCCTCCAAGATGATATTTCAAATGTAAAATACTTTTATCACTTAATATTTTTCAGTAATCTTTGATTAATGATGTCAAAAGTGCGACAGAAAATGTCAAATGAGACCATTCAAACTTTTGTTGAGGAACCTGCAACCAAGAAGATGTTGTGTATCTAACTTGAGTTAATGTAGATTCTGAAACCAACCCTTAGTTTGAAAAAGGTTTTAATTTTGGCCCCCCTTTGTGAGTTTGACGTTCCTGAAGTGTCATTAGTGTTTTTTTTAATTCTTCCAAAGTGATTATTCTGGTTAGAGATTCATGAGTCTAAGACTCAGGGTAGAAGCTGTTCCTCAGTCTAGTGGTTCTACACTTAATGCTCCTCAACCTCCTTCCTGAGGGGGGCGGGGCAAAAAGTGTGTGCGCTGGATGAGTGGGGTCCTTCATGATGCAGGTGGCCCTCTTCCTGCATCTGGAGGTGTAGATGTCTGTGATGGTGGGATCGAGACTGACTCCAGTGTTAAACATGCCTATACTTTACCAAACTGTCTCATTTACTTGAGATCTTGGATTGAAAAGCTCCAGAACATTATCAAGTGAAAGAAATGAGGAAAATTAAACTCAGTCAAACTCTGATCAGTTAAAGACCGTGCACATAAAGAAAAATGCTCACGCATCAAGTCATTTATTACTTTATTTTCGACTTGGTTGTAGGTTTGACATAAAACTAAACAGACACTTCAGTTAATTTTTATAGCACCAAGTCACAACAGAGGTCGTGTCAGGGCACTGAACAGAAGCAGGACAAGGAAGCAGAATTTCATTACAATGAATGCATCCACAAATACACGGTGCCATTTTGACATTTCAAAAGCTGAAGGGCCACAACTTCTGCCAGCTTACAGACCGCTGTTGCCATGCCAACGTCACTGCCAACACCAGTCTGATAAGCTAGCTGACGATGCGAGAAAGTGACGCTGAGAAAAATAAACTCCAGTAAGAGTTTTGAAGAGCATCTTATCCAGAATTGTGTTTAAATCCAAGCTTTGAAAGTCAAATTCAAGCATCATGAGAATAAACTGGAAACTGTGGAGCTGAAAAGCATCAAACTCCAAATTTAGCCACAACTAGGAGGGTCACAACGCAGTTTAAAAAGATAAAATACTTTGTGAAATCCATCACTTACCTTGTAGAGGCATTAGCTCTGTAGTCGACACAGGAACAAAGAAGCGTCTTCAAAATGAGCATTAATAAAAGAAAATACCAAATAAGACTCATTAGAAAAACGTCATTTTTCCTCTTGTTTTATAGATGATCTGATCCAAGGTTTGACCTAAATGTACAGAGTAGAAATGGGACCATTTATTCAGAGTACATTGCCACTTTACCCATATCTTTGTCAACGAATGGAATAGAAACACAACCAAGCATACTGTCAGAGAAATATTAACATATTTACACAATGTGCAAACCAATATTACCTCCCTACTTTAAGTTGATATTGCTTTTTTTCCTCTTCATCCTCATTACTTGAAACTGACAGCACTTAAAATAAAAAGGTCTCACCGGATAAAGACATGAAAACAAACATCAGTTGCAGTTATCTTGGCAGCACATTGTAAGAATCAACTATTTCCATTCAGAACGGTTACAAAATTAAATTAAAATCAAGTAAATGAGTCAAGATTTATATCCGAGGGAATCCAGGCGTTCCCATCCTTGCATAAGGCGTAGCATGTGATGGGCGCTGCCCTCGACGCGGCAGTTACCATCGGATCACGGCTGCACTTTGAGGTCGACGAGCAGATTTGTTAACGTTAAAGTAACATGTTAAGACCAGCAGCAGGACCAGTCACATTGTTCACACGCAGAGAGAACAGGAAGAACTACAAATCTTTAAGAAACTGTTAAACATACATCCTCAACAGCACGCGCAATTACACGCACACGCACACACGCCCTTCTCCCTGCAAAAAAAGTCATTTTTTGTTGTTCCTTTTTCCCAACAGCCTTTTTGAGGATGGATGATGGTGAGGTTTGTCGGTAAGCTGAGTAGCTGCCTCAGCAGCAGCAGTCACTTGGATGGTGGCGCCGCCCCGAGCGCCATCATCACTTGGTTTTCTCCTCCGAGTGCCTCCGCTGCTGCAACCTCTTGGCGTAGCTCTGAGCCATGGAGTTGACGATTGAGATGATGAAGTAGCAAACCATGACCAGCACCACCTTCTCAAACACCCACGACAGCCAGTTGTCGTCCTGAAACACCCAGAGTTTGAATGAACGGGCGCTTAATCATCAAACTAAGAAATGCAAGTGCAGTAACATTAAAAATTCAGCCAGGTATAAAAACTGCAAAACACAATGCACGGATTAGTTTCAATTTACATCCCTCAAAAAACACAGTTCAAAAATATATATGGGAAAAAAAGTGACATCTTTTAGAAATTTTGAGTTACACATTTTGTCCACTAGAAAGCAATGACTTTCATTTAACTTGAAGTTCAAAAATTACTACAAAAATATTTAAAACTCAGAAAGTACCATAAAGTAGCCGTCTCATATTAAAACACCAGTTCATACTGGTTCAATTTAAATTTGTAAGATGAAAAAAAGTTAAGGTTTTGACAGAGATATATAAGAGAAACAGAGCTCTTACAGCTGATCCACTTCCTCCAGCGTGGTGCAGCTTGTTCTTCTGTGCTTCCAGGTACTGACTGAAGGGCTTCTGGAGTGCTGGTCCAATTTTAGGGACAGACCTAAAATAAACGAGAGCGACAAAGAAAAAAGATTAAGTCACTTACCCCTCAAAAGCAGAAATGCGAAGCTCAATTTTAGCCCCTTAAAATAAAAAGGCCCAAGCTCAGAGAAGCCCCTGACGGATCCAGCAGCATCCGAGCAGCAGCTGCTGAAGGCCCCATCCTACAAGTGGCCCCCCTGCTGCAGCTGCCACCACTTCTAATTGTTACTGTGAGCAGGAGCAGGCAGCAGAGAGGAGTGAAGCAGAAACTCTTTAGTCCTCCTTTTATAGTCCAACTTCTCCAGAAGAGTGTGTCAGCCTCTCTAATCAGGAAGTGAGTCGGCATGATGTCATCACCTTTACCACCATCATGGTGGAAACAGCCAGCAAATCAGGATGGGTTATTGTCCCTATTAGGTTGGGTGAAAGACTCGGGGACCAGTCATAATGAACATTTCAAGTCAGAAATATTGGCGATACAGTTTCACATGTAGATTAGATGCAGCTGAAGAGAATCTCTTCATGATGCATAAGAAGAACAAGCAGCAGGTCACAGACAACCATCCACTGTAGGGATTCATGTTAGTCCCCTGAGAGGATACAAACATGTCTAGTTTTGACCAGACTAAGCAAAAACAGGAGATGACACCAAATGGAGACAGGGTAACTCCTGATGTTAAGAAAAACTAAATCTGAGTCATTGGTGTTATCTCTCCCACTTGATGAAAACCGAGTCAGCACTGAAGCATCTTTGATACACATCACAGCGAGTCACCACAGGCTAGCTACATTTAATGGGAAAGAACCTCAGCTGAATTTTCCCAGGAGAACTGTTTTTTTTGACTACATAAGGTTATTTCCTTTATCTTGCATTTAATGGATGACCAGATAACAGCCAAAAATCTAAGATATGACTGAACTTTGAACCGATTTCTCAGAATGTTGAAAACCAACAGGTCAGAACACAAACTCGACTTATTCTGGTAATTAGAGCTTTATTAGCCTAGTCTTAGATTAGCTAAGAAGTTGAAGCCTTTAGTGATTAGGATCATGTTTCTCCCATGAACAGGCCATCATCTCACTCAGAACTGAACTTGGTGAGTCAGATCAACATGTTCGAATGTGACCTCAGCCTCCTGACCACTGAGGCCACAGAGATTGGTTTCACCTGGGGTGGTGGTAAAGAAATACCTTTGTTAGGAAAAAAAAAATAAAAATGCATGCATACACCCCCCCACAGTGAAGGCATTTTTCCCCCTACACAGGATCCCCCATCAGTCATTCCCAAAGAAAAAAAAAAGGCATCTGAGAATGTTTAGTGATGCATTACAAACCACAAAACCAAAGGAAAACTTCACATGGTAACTGAATTATTTCCCATGAACACTTACCCCATCAGTGACACCATCTGCTCCACAATGTGCTTGCTGAAGGTGATGATGACAAAAAGTTTCTGTGGGGGTGGGGGGTGGAGAAGAAAGATGAATAAGCCATAACGCTTGCTACTTTGTTCATAAAAAACAAGTCTATGGATTTTAGAATTTAATAATGTAGGTGGTTCCCAACACTGGTCCTTGAGGAACACCATCCTGCATGTTTTAGTTGCTTCCTTGCTCCAACACACCTGATTCAGTGATTTAATTACTTGTCTATCACCCATTCATTCAAATTAGGTGTGTCAAAGCAGGGAAGCAACTAAAACATGCAGGATGGTGTTCCTCAAGGACCATTGTTGGGAACTGCTGGTTAGAGGATGTCACAGAGTCCTCAAGTCTTCAGTTGTGGCACAGCTGTGACGAACATCTGCCTGTGTTCACAGATGCACTCCTTACAAAACTCAAACGTGGCATGAAGCTACTAAACTGTGTGTGCTGCAAGTGGGGGTTTGCAGGGGACCAAAGTGGAAAAACTGGTAGGTTGGGGGTGGGTCTGCCAGTTTTCTTGTTTTAAAACTAATCAACTTTAAAAAGCATGACACATCCCCCTGGACAAAATCAGATAGGATCCCATCTTGTGATGTCTGACAAGTTCAAGGTAAGAAATTAAAGTAACTCCCCTGCAGCTTTTCTTCAAGTCTGGTCCATTTCCTTCTCACAGCCATAACCCCCAGCAGCGTGAGGTGCCCTTTGTCTGAGAGGTCTTGGAGTGAGCTCATTGGCTCCCACCACCAAGAGATGGCTATATTAAATTAGTTAAAGATAGCTAGCGAGTCACCCAGAAACAGACAGACCCTCATGTTTAGGCTTGTATTAGTCACTGGGATGGCAGACTCAACACTGTCCTCCGTAATTAAGAAATCTTTATGATCTGGTAACATTTTATTTAAAGCCAAACTGTTAAAGCTTCCTCAAAGTGTCCTACCTTTCATCTACAGCTTTGGAAACGAACCAAAGCATCAGTAAAGTGCTCAGTTAGGGGTTTCACAGTGAACCAGCTCATGATCTCAGCTCAAAGTTTGATCTTTCCCACACGGTTGGTCAAAGTGGATGAGTCAGCATATCTTTTTTCCCTAATGTGTATTTTTCAAATGCAATAATAGAGTTAGGTTTAGTTAGTTAGCTTTGTGATGACATGAAACAATGAATCACAGCAGAAGTCAAGAGGTTTGAAGTGCGTGCCAGCAAGGTTTGTTAAATGGAAACGCCTTCACAGACCTGTATGTGCATTTTAATGATGGCTTTCCCGATCAGAGTTGCTCCAAAGAAGGTCCAGAAGGGAACCAGGAAATGTCCGCAGGTTATTCCAGCCAAGTCAAAGAGAGGATTGGGAATCTGAAAAAAATACACTGAGTTAGGATTTTCTTTAGAAGTGAGTATTTAAGTCAAAGTAGGAAGTAAAATTTACAAATACAACTTAATTGCATGTCCTGATGCATGCTCAATGATGCAAGTAGATAAATGTAACAAGGATAAGTCAGGTCCTCTGGACGGAGTCTTTGTTGAAACGTTTTTAGAATAAAAGATGAAACGTTTCAGTAAAGAGGAATCTGTCCAGAGGACCCGACTTTTCTTTGTTAGACAACTCGATTGCTTTTTATTGTGTGGATGTTTATGAAGCATTCACACTATTGTCATCCATTTTTCTTCTGTACGTTTTTCTGTGCAATTCTCGTCCTGCAGTTTTCAACAAATCCTATCAAACGTTCAGCTCTTTCAGGAAAATCCTGCTACGACTGTTGGTATTGGTGCAACTTTAGCTTTTTGAAATATTTAGCCTTTTCTGCCATTTTTTTCCTCATAGAAAATGAACTGAGCTCATTTCACATCCTTCAAATCTTTAGATCTGTTTACAACCCGTTACTGCTCCTTTCACATTTTGTTCTGGTTCAGCTTCTTTCAGCTTCCTTGTGCAAATTTAAAAACAACTTCAGCTACTTTCAGCAAATTCAGCTGTTTTGTGCTCCTTTCAGATTCTTTCTGCCAAGTACAACATTTTTGTGCTGCTTCTAACTTCTTTCTGCTAATTTCAGCTTATGCTTCTTATTTCTGCAAGTTTCAACTTGTTTTTTTGCTAATTTTTAGCTTTTTCAGCTCATATTTTTTGCACTCATTTAAACGTTGTTCAGCCTAAATCAGCAAAATGTGCTCTCTCCACATCCTTGTAATTTCAGCTTCTTTCAGCTTTTTAAGCGACTTTTCAGCAGTTTTTTTTGTTGCTAATTTCAGCTTTTTTCCAGATAAGTTTCACTTGTGTTCATTTCTGCTTCTTTCAGCAAACGTGTTCCGCTTTCTTCTAATTTAGGCTTGTTCTACTTTTTCCAGCAACTTAAAAAAAAAAAAAAACATTTTTAATAGCTTTTTTAATCTCATTTCAGCAGTTTTCAGATAAATTCATGTTTTTTTGTGTAATTTCTGCTAGTTTGAGCCTAATTAACTTCTTTCTGCTACGACTTCAGCTTTCAGCTTGTTTTTTTTTTAGTGTTTTTTTTTGCTAGTTTCAACTTTTTCTCTCATTTCAGCTACTGTTTTTGTGCTAAATTTAGCTTTATCAGCTAATTCCACATTTTTTAGCTCATTACAGCTCCTTCCACTTCCTTCTGGTAGTTTAAGCTTCTTTCTGCCATTTCAGCTAGTTTTTTTGTTGTTGCCAATTTAAACTTTTTGAGCTAATTTCCTAATTTTTGTGCTCATATCTGCTTATTTAAACCGGTTTCTCAGCAAGTTCTTCTGCAACAAGCACTCACACTGCATTTTCACAGGGAATGACAATTTCTTTAAGTTACTGTTTTTAATAAAGACAAATTTTCTTGTAATCTTTTCAAGTGGACAACTTATGGTACTCTTCAGTTTTTTTTTTAAGGCTTTTTTTTTTTTTTTACTTTGGCTGTCACCCCACCCCCCCACACACACACACTTTAAAAAAATATTTTTTTACTCGTTCTCAAACTGGACCCGACCATTTCCAGAAGAATGTTTTTGTTTAAACAGCTTAACTTTACCCCATGAATCACCGAGGCTCAGAAATTCTCCTGAACTCACGTCTGGACCAGGGATGTTAACACAAAACTTGGCAAAGAACCAGTTTTAAATGAGATCTTTAGGCACTTAGTTACCAGCAGCCAAGACAAATCTATAAACAAATCAAAAACCGTTCGACACAAAATACCATTTTTAGCCACAACAAGGTGATTCTCAAAGATGTCTAGCTGAAAACTTGTAGTAGCTGATCAGCTGAAGGAAATGCATCTACGGTCAGGTCTTTGACGGATGTTTCTCTAGTTTTTAAATACACGACTTTCAGGTAGTGTTCATTTGATTTAGGTATTTCAGACTTTTACCTTTACGCATCCTTCGTCATTTTTAAGCACGCAACGATGCACAACTTGCTTATATGGTCAAAAACAAGAAACCGAAAGACTGCAGGAACAGATCAAGTCCAATTAAGAAATAAAACGCCAAAACCTACAGAAAGTCTGAACAATTACCGATTATGATCACTTGAAAAAGTTTTGGGTTTTGGAAGTTTTGGGTTCTGTAAGTAAAACATCTCAGAGATACCTTCAGTTATGAGTTTTACCCACCGAGGCACAAGCCAAGATACCAAAGAAGCCCACTTTCTGCACCATGTGCTGGACTCCCAGTTTTGCTCTGGTGACAAAGTCCTGCAAAAAGAATAAAATTTAAAAAAGCATTAATTTTTACTGCGGTCAGACATGATTGGCATATTTGTCATAGATTGTATTTTTAAATGTAGACTCGTGTAGGTTTCCTTTAGAATGAGTACAGCACTTCATGTCAACAGCAGCCCTGTCTGTAAGATAGAACAAGAACTAAGCTGCTGTAAGAACACTGTGGTAAAAATAAAAACCTGCTATTCTTGAGCACGGCAGCTTTTATATTTGGTCAATCTTGTGGCATTTTACTAAAATTTGTGTAGTAAAAAAAAAGAAAAAAAGATGGCCACAGCTCTTGTGATTGCCCGTGGGGGTGACTTGTCTGGTTTCTTGGAAAAGATCACAGGCGATGCAGGAAGAGAATTAAGAGGCTTTAAAAGCTGGCACCTTGTAAATGTTAATAAAAACAACAATGTTTGTGTTTGTGGGAAGCGCAGTGATGAAGTGTTACAGCAGGTAAGCTGCACGGTGGAATTCCTGCAGAGGCATTTCTTTGAAGGAGTTCCTCAGGGACAAATATTTAGCACGTTAGTTTATAAATACATAGATACAGTAATAAATATTTATATAATACAGTGGAACGTAACGATGCTCACCTCAACTGTTTCTTCGTTACAGAAATGATTTTTATTAAGACGAACAAAAATATGTGACATTTATTTAGTAATTCCATTTCTTCCCACAATTGAAGACGTTCTCAGGGCAGAATGCAGGTGGAGACATCCTGAAACTAAGGTAAGCCTGGCTGCCTCACCTTATTCAGAAAACACATTACAAGGAAGGGTTAGGTGATGAAGACAATGCCAACAACGTCTTTAAGGTCCGTTCTGCTGACTCAGCATGTGATCCAAGCGCCCTCCCGTTTTGTTCCTGACAGTCTGTCATTCAAATTAAAGGTCGGTGAGGAGAGAGATGGAGGGCGGCAAAACACAGAGCGAAGCCCAGAGGATGATTAAAGAGGGAGTTGTGCTCAGAGTGACTCACCCACAGACAGACACATTTACTGGAAGTGCACGGAGGGAGGGGCTTCACTGAAGTCACATGTTCACTACGACCAACCAGCCACCTGTGGCTCCATGTTCAGACAGGCATTATGAAATTAAAAAGGATCATATCACACTGGGTGGAGAACATCAAAGCTACAATGAAACCACAAAGATGGAGATCAGCCATCTGTGCTGGTTCAGTTTGGGCTGATGGTTGCACAAAGACAAGAAATGTGTGAATGTGCCGTTTTACACCAGGGCTTCTCAAACTGGAGTCCCCGGACCCTTGGGGGTCCGCGAGGCGGTGCTTGGGGGTCCACAAAAAATAGTTTGTTTTTTTTGTTACATGCATGTAGATGTTTAATAACCCGTTAAAATGCAGGACATCACATCTAATTTATTAAACTTTTTTTTTGGAGGAGGACCCCCAGACCCCCACCCCCCACTACTTATATTCCAGCATTGATCAGTTTACAAATGAAGCCCTGTCACTTGGTCCGACTACTGCTGTGATGATTCTGTTCAGGTTTCTGCAATAATCTGAAGAAGTGTCAATACATTTATTATGTTCATTATGTGAATAGGTAAAGTGGTTTTTGATGCTGTTAATTTTCTCAAAACTAATTTTTGGAAATTTAAATTAATTTTTTTTTTAATTAAGTGAGTCTTAAATGAAAAATACCCCATGTTTAAAAAGTATACATAATGTATTAACACCATTAAAGAACAGGTCTTAAGTATTTGTTACACACATATTTTCATTGCATTAGAATGGGTCAAATTCAAGGCCCGGGGGCCAAATGTGGCCCTCGTTGACATCTTATCTGCCCCCCCAAGATGTTATTAGAAATGTAAAACACTTATCACTAATTATTTCAGTAATCTTTGATTATGATGTCAAAAGTGCAACAGAAAACATCAAATGAGACCAAACAAACTCTTATTGAGGAACCTGCAACCAAGAAAAGATGTCGGGTATCCAACTTGAATTAATGTAGATTCTGAAACTGGCCTTTAGTTTGAAAAAGGTTTTAATTTTGGCCCCCTTTTGTAAGTGGGGGGTTTGACATCCCTGCATTATTATTATTTTTTTTAAATTAATAAACGTGAGGGTTAGGAGGGGGTCCCTGAACCCAAAAGGTTTGAGAACCCAAGACATTGATTCTTTGGGAAATTTGTAAAATGAGTCAAAGTTGTTTAACAATTTAAACACAAATGTTGGAGCATTTTGAGCTAAAGAGAATATCAAAGAATAAAAGACCTTCATAGTTATTAATGCTCAAATATGAAAAAAATATTCACAGATGCATTAAACAGCATTAACTTTTTTTTTTTTCCATTTACTCTTTATTTATCCAGGTAGTCCCATTGAGCCACAAGAACTCATTTTCAAGAGAGACATGTTTTTAGGGAGCAGATGGGGGTCAAGGGCCTTGCTCAAGGGCCCAGAGTGGGACGAATGAGGGTGGGGGCGTTTACCTACCCCACCCACATTTGTGATGTTGTTGGTACCGGGGCTTGAACCGACGATCTTCCGATCACAGGCCCACCTTCTCTAACCTCTGTGCCGCCACTCCCCAAACACTTGATAAATGTCACATTGTGGGTTTGCACGAGGTCAGGTAGTCGTGATGTGCAGCTGTTCGGTGTGTGGGGTCGTACATGTGTTGGAACACACATTATGAAGGTTCTGGTTACTTAAAAAACGGACCACACCAGGATGGATCGTTGTACTGTGCACCAAGCGTTGAAGATCACTGTGACACTTAGTTCTGCCATCCACACAAGTATTTGTCCACTTACAGCGCCCCACGTCATCGTGTCTCAACAGGCATCGGTTAGTCCAACCGTCTCCCGATGCCATGTTTTGGTTATCATTACCACCAGAACAAGGACGGGTGCAGATGGAGAATGATGCAAATTAGGAATTTGGATCTACATTTCTACGAATGACTAACGTGTGCAAAACTTGTGCCACCGAGACACCAGCTGTCCACACAGTACGAGTCTATGGCCTGCCTGTGGCCAGCCAGGTCTCCTGATCGTTCCTCATGAGCGGGATCAGCTGGGACTTTAACGCGCTGGTGCTCAACATTCGTTTTTGCCAGCGAGTGTATTAAACTGCCTGAACGCGTTGCTTTGAATGATTCCTCACGAGTGTACCACTGACCTGTGCACCCTCAGCCTGCTCGAGCATCTCCTCAAACTCCTCATACTCCTCGTCGTCTGGATCAGCTCCTGACTGACGAGCTGCTCTCGCCATGAAGTACGGAGGCAGCTCTCCAATGGCAGTGCCCGCACCCTACACATGCACAGCGTCGGTCATTAAAGGTTCACACTGGTTTACGTCACACCCACACAAAGACAGCACAGTTCTCACATGTGCAACTACTTTGATTTTTATACAAAAAAACAAAGATCAACAGCATTTCCTGTCAGGCAGCCACACTTGTCCACAAAACATCCAGATGTTCATGTCTTGACCACTCAGTCGAATCCTTACTCGGTACTACTCACCCACATGCAGGCCTCCAGGCGGACCTTTGATATGATGGAGAAGATTGAGATGCTGCCCTCCAACCCTCCATCATCGGGACAGACAATCTGGTCTGGGTAAGGGGGCTCTGGGAAGTCTGTGGACCCACACTCGTATGCTGCCAGGGTCACTGAAGCTATGTGAGGACCCTGAGAGAGAAAGAGTATAGGCAGATGGAGACAGTGACATACTTCAAAATAAATAAACCAACGCAATGACAAATGTCAAGTGCTTACCATGGAAGAAAAAAGAAAAAGTACAGATTTGGAACATATTGTTGCTTGGGACAGGCGAGTACAAGAAGTTTCCTATTTATTATAAATCATCATCACTTCCCTCAAATACAGCCACGTTATTACAGATTTTTAAACGTGGCCTTTATGTTGGCACTTGCATTCAAAACTGTCTAATCCACTGTCCTGCTATAAATCTATTTTAAATATTCCGGCTTATTTCAAAATCTTTAACTAAAAAGAAGTGAATTCAACGTTAGGATCACTTTTTTGGAGGCTGCAATTTGTGGTCTTCTTGAATTTGATTGAGATGAGGTTTCTAATTTGCAATATGCCGTCATTAAATGTAATTACATATAATCCAGCTTTGAATGGTTGAACGCAGACAATATGTACACTGTTGCAGATATGCACACCGACTGCAGCTGAGTCAAACACACACACACACACACACACGACTAGAAGGCTGTCTGGTTACGCACAGCCACCTGTAATAGGGATGCACGATATTATCGGCATGGTATCCGTATCGGTTGATATTAGCGATAAAGTTAAATATCGGGCATCGTCCATTCCTTAGAAATAACTCAGATATGAAAGATGCCGTTTTTGTATGACAAACTAGTGACAAGGATGTCTGCAGCACCAGCACAACGTGATGACACCACACGCACCATTGTATTTAGATTTGTGAAAGTGTATAAATTTGCACTGTTCGAGTGTTGTCATTGTGTCAGAGAGAGTAGATGTCATGAATAAATTTGACATTAAACATAATCCAAGTTGAAGTGTTACAT